ATAGGCCATTGGGCCAAGGGTCCAATAAGATTTTATATATATATATATATGTTTTGGTTTCTTTTTTTTAGATAACTTAAATTTGAATATTTTTTTCTCCATGTATTTTTATTTTTTTTGCATTAATTTAGATTTAATTTTTTTTATATTTTTTGGAATTTATTTAATTAACTTAAATTTTAGAATTTTATTTTAGAAATTAGGTTAGATAATTATTTGATAAAAGAAATTTCAAGTCTCCTAATTTTTAGGGACTCATAATAATTTATAAGAAAATAATAAATAAAAATAACAAAAAATAGTAAAAATTCTTAACAAAGATTCCTATAGGGACTCGTTGTTAATAAAAAAACAAATCCTTGACGAAATCTCTATATGATAGGAACTATCGTTGAGCAAAAAAACAACAACAATAATAATAAAAATTCTTGATGAAGTCTCTTATGTGATAGGGATTGACGTTGCCAAAAAATAATAAAAATTATTCAAGAAGTCTCCTATTCAATAGAGACTCGTCGTTGCATAATAATAATAATAATAACAAAAAATTCTTAACAAAGTCTCCTATTTGACATGGACTCGTTGTTAATAAAAATAAATAAATAATTAATTTAAATCCTTAACAAAGTCTCATATCCGATAGGAACTATTGTTAGAAAAAAAATCATAATTTAATAATCAAGATGTTCTCCGACACACCTAGTTGTGTCGAGGCTTAAAGTGGATTTGATATTGGAACCGATGCATCTCCCGATAAAAGGGTCCGACAATCGTTTCAACACGATGACACATTCAAAAACAAAAAAATTAATTTGGCTTATGAAATTAGAGTTTAAATCGAAAATAATTTGACACAAGTAAAATACCTTTAAGAGATGAATTTAGAACTAAACTAAACGTGATACCTTTCTTAGGAAAAATCATTTTAAAATGATCGATATCTTTTCAAAGTGTAACCAATTTCTTATCCTAAAATCTTTCCATCGGTGCTATTTTAGATTCTTAGTTTCTTCAATACTATGTAGTATCTCGTGAACTCGGTAACAACTTACTTCTCTAGAATAATTCAAAAATGCAATGCAAAACCCAATTTCAAAATTTTCAATAGTCGAGTAGCGATCGCTTTTTTAAAATACTTTTATTTTGAAATGCATAATTAAATTGAATAAATTTTCTCCTTAAATAAAAAAATATTTTAGAAAAGTATTATTAAAAAAAATACTGATACTACATTATAATTAATAAATTTTTTAAAATGGATAAAAAAATCAAAAGGAACCATCATTTTGGGACAACTTCAAGACAAGAAGTTATTATTATTATTTTATTTTGTTTTTTAACTTTTTATTACAACTTTGATTGACACACTTAACCTATTCCAATTCGAACTCAACATTTTAGGCACAAGTTATTAGAAATCAACAAAAAAAGAAGGCCCACGCCCAATGCTACAAGAAATAAAAGTGCAGTATAGGAAAACCTGTCTATGTCATTGGTGACGCTGATCGTGGCATGGAATGGATGTAGGTCCAGGAACTTGTTCAAGGCATAGAATGACATAAGACAGCTTTGAGGAGGATCTTTGTGCTTGTTAATTAGTTTTGATAAGGGTTTATTCATTCATTCATTTATTTTTGTAGTTAAATAATTCAAACAACATCGTCATCCCTAACCTGCTTCCAGAGTCATCCTTAAAAATGGTCTTTTTTTTTTTTTTTTTTTTTGGATCATGCTCTAGTTGAGCTCCTTTCATGAATCAGATAGTCCTGAACATGCGATGCATATCATTGCTTTGACTAGGAACGTAAAATGGAAAAGAAACTAGTATTCTAGATATGGTTCGCTATGTTAACTTGATATTTAATCAATTTTCTTGTTTTTTTTTTTCATTGTGCTACAGTTAATTAAAAAAAAATTCATATTCTGAATATTATAGCACCAACTTTCATTTGATTTAAGCAAAAAAAAAAAAAAAGCAAATAGATTATGAGATTTGTTTTCGCTTAAAGCATTTCTTTTTTTCTTTTTCTTTTTTTTTTAAAAAAAACTTTGTTAATCTCTATTTTACATTTGGGTAGAAAACTAACTGTGATAGTGAGTAAATGAGAACAAAACACATAACATGAAACTTAAGTATACATAGCATGCTATTATTGGACGACAGTAGAGGGTATTGCTTATAAGTCATTAATTAAGAAAAACACTGATATGTGGCTCTGATGTTGAGGTCTTTCGAGGTAAATTATAAATTAGTCTCTTTATTTTTGGAAAAAAATTAAATAGTATATTTATTTTCGAAAACTAATTAATTGTTATCTTGATCAGCATTGATTATAATTACCCCTGGAGAAAGGCTTCGTTAAGCTGAAATCAATTGTACAAGTAAAAGCCCAATAAAGAGCCCAATGTTACAGGGTCCAATCTGATTAAACGACCGAACTTTATCTAAGAAGGCTTTCCCTTGATTCGAACCAGCCGAATAAATTAAAATCAAATCAACTTTTTATTTTACGACACCGTTCTAGGAAGCAAATTGGTTGAGAAAAATAAAAACAAAACATGCCAGAATATTTCGTTTTACATGTCGTATACTTGCGTAGAGATAATAACAGATAACAGACTGTAAAAATATCTTTTTACATTTACATAATTTATTTATTATCAAATCCATTGTTAAAAAAAGAAAAAACGAAAAAGAAAAACAACTGTTATTATAGTAGCATTCTTTCGATACATTGCTGACTTAAACCAAGATGGGACATAAGAACGGCCACAAAAGTGAGACCTCGGGTAAGTGAACGGCCACAAATTAATTTAGGTAAGTGACGTAGAGAGAAATATAGAGACCAGAAGACGACACATGTATCTCACACCTTTACAGCTAAAACATATTTGAAGATTATATAAAGAATAATTTTATTATTTTGCAATCAACTTTAAGTTTATGTATTTACATCTAATGTCATAAAATTACAAAATTGAACTAGATCAATTACTTATAATTATTAGTTATCACTGTTTTAATATATTTGAAAACATATATAAAATAAAATAAAACATTTTAAATTTAAGTAAAAAGACTCTTAAAGAAATAAAGAAACTAAAAATCAATCCATGTAATTCATATCTTTATAATCAAACGATGTTTGAAAATTATGCAAAGAGCTAACAGTTTTATTGTTATGCAAACAACTTGAATTTTATGTGTTTAAACCTGATGGCACAAAAGTATGCTTAATAATGTTGTAAGAATATGAATTTGTACATATTCTTTACTTTTTATCATCAATATCAAATATCATTCTCAAGAAAGAATAAAACACTTGCTTCCGTTATAGGATGGAATTTTAAGATCTTTATTAAAAAAACGTAAAAGAACCAAAGGAATAAATTACTTTCACTTATCACAAGCTAAACCTTTGTCAAAATTTATGATTCTCATGAGCACAACTTACTTCCTCTCTTTGCAAGCAACAAATTCATGTAAAATTTATAGCTTAAGGCAAGTAAGTGACAAAAATGGGAACAGAAATCAGCAATTAATCTTGTAAAACTTCTTTTCTCTTTTTTAAAACTAGGAGAAAAATTTCTTTGGTTATGGGTTGAGCCTAAGAGTATAAGTAAACTGATGGTTTCAAAATGCATTTTTCCCTAATTAACATCAAATTAATTCTTTTTTAATTAATTTTGGATGAATTTAATGTAAAGATGTTAAAACCATTAAAACACACTTAAAATTCCATGTTTCTTTTACAGTTGAAATACGTTTTGTGCGAAAACACTCTCTACATTACAAAACACACGCTAAGTGGCTTTCTTTTATTATACTTATTTTATATATTCTTCTTTTTTGTTGTACTCTCCATGATCAAAAAAAATTATTCATCTTTTTATTTATATTTGTTTCAAAATATTTATCTGATCAAATTTTTTAATATTTTACTTTTTTCATAACCAAAAAAATCACACACATCTTACAATGTTAATTTTTAATTATTTGTTTTGATTTATTCTATTCTATTCTATTTTAGTTTATTTCATTTTTATTTGATTTATTTTTATTTTAGGAATTTTTTTTAAAAAGGAGAAAGTAGTAAAAAAAAAAATACAAAAGAAGAAGAAGAAGAAGAAGAAATATATAGAAAATACAAAAAAAATCATGAATTGCATCCAGGGACACAATTGCATAAAAAGAAAGTATAATTGAAGTAATTAGGGGTACAGTGGAATCAATTGAAAAATTAAGAACCTAAATTACTCTCTAAAGGGACCCAATGGATAACATTGCACTTTATAAAGACTGAAATCACTTAGAAAAAGGACATAATGGATGATAATTAAAATTTTAAAGGACTACGTTATAATTGTGGAGAACATGATAGGACTAAAATCGAGCGGACCACACCAGAATTCTCTCCTGGGATGGTTCTCAATCTTTCTCAGGAGACAAATCTTCCCCAGATTAAGTTGTGGTTGATTTTCATTCACTGTGATTATTAGCTGCATTTGATACTAGCTAAGGATAATGCCTCAACGCAATTCATTCTCTTGTTTTGGCTTATCGAAAGCCAAACTTTAGCTTTAGCAGCTGGAATCCAGGGTCGAATGAATTAATTTTGGGGAGAGAATTGGACAAATTTTTGCCTATAAAAGGATTGTTTTGGTTAGGAAGAAGGGAAGAGAGGAAAAGGGAGGAATTTTCTGTGATAGGGATTGGAAAATCAAGAACGAAAACCAATCTTTTTTTTTTTTTTTTAATTTCTGACAGTAGCTTTTCTGGGTTTTTCTGGGCGGGGTCATTGTTGTTCTTCATTTTCTGGGTAGAGTTCATCCATTTTTTTGATTCTTTAGTTCATTTTTTTTTTTGTTTTTCTGGGTTCCGTTTCAATCCTCACAAGTTTCTTAACCTCATTTTCTGGGTTTTCTCCTCCAGAAATTCTGGGCAGCCCTTGGTGTCTTCATTTTTCTGGGTTGGTGTTCATCTTTTTCTGTGTTCGTGTTCAACATTGCTTTCCACTATTGGACCTCAATTCTTCGAGTCTAAACCTTATCCAAGCGTTCAAAACCAAGTGTAGTAAACTGGCGAGCTTTCGAGCATCAGGATATGTTTTAAAGATTTGCTTGTACTTTGCTTCAACCAACTCTTCAGGTAGCAAAAACGGCAAATCACTCCATAGATACATCAAGTAATCAGATAAAGATCTGCTCATCTTACAATGAATTGAATCACTATAATCCTCATTCAAACGATAACGAGTAGCAATGTACCATAACAGGAAGCTTTCGTGAAAGTCTCTTTCAATCACAGACCAACCTAATTTTTCAAAGCATCCCTTACGCTTAAGCACCTGATCACCTCTCTCTTCCAATATCATCTCTCGACCAACCATGCGTGAATGATGGCCAGTGCGGTACCTTGAACGCTTATCTAAGAGGTAATAGAAGATCGATTCCTTTAAATCATCACTAACAAACTCCCAACTCTGAATGTTGCCGGTGCTAAAGAATTTTAGCATGTGTCCATAACGTGATAGCTTAACTTGGGCCATAGATCCTTTCCACCTTCCATTATTGCCAAAAAACGATAGCAACCGAGAAGAAGAAATAACTCGATAAATAGAATCCGCCAATAGCTTCCGTTGCTTGGTAAGCCAAAGCATAGTCCAATCAGAGAAAAGCATCAAAATGGCTGAGTAAACCTCCAGAACAATAGCTCATACCAGCAACAAGTACGATATAATAATATCAAATTTGGAATAGGCATGGAAGTTTCTGGTCATTACTGAGAACGCAAGTAATGCAGAAACAGAGGACAGAAAGTTGATCGATGAAGCGGAGAATGAAGCGTGGTTGCCAATAAACCGCTGATGAGGACTAAAAATATTTAGTTATTGTTTATATATATATATATAGATATAGGTTCTTATGTGTTTCAGGAAGGAGGTTCTATAAGGTGCAATGTGAATACAATAGTCATGCCTTATGTGTTGTGAAGTCTCTATCATACTTGGAAGTTGGATCTATTGACCTTGAAATAAATTTTTAACATATAAGATTGTTAATTAGTTAATATCATAATTGGATCATGCATTTGGTGATTAATTTGAAGGAGCAATTCTTAAAATTGTATATTACAATATATTAGCTAATAATTATTTGTTCATATTTTCTGAGGAAATAAATTATTGGCTTACGTGCCCTTAAGATGGGAATGCTGCCTTCAAAACATTGCCATTGCCATTGCCATAACAATATGAATTTCAATTGTAAGGAAATAATAATCATCTAGAGAGCTATACACTTGGGCCTAACCATTAATTTGATAAGTTGAAATAAAAATGTTTTTATTGAATCATGAACATTAGACTGATATATTTTATTAATTATATTACATTATTATTAAGAAGTTTGTTTTCTCTTATAAAATGGTATTTAAATGTTTTGAAATTTAATTTTATTCAATTTGAATCTAAAAAAAGAGAAAGCATTGTAGTAGAATTTCAAAGTTTTATCATCGTTATTATTGTTAAGAAGCTTTTTCTCTTATAAAATGGTATTTAAATGTTCTGAAATTTAATTTTATTCAATTCGATTCTAATTAAAAAAAAAAAAGGATTGTACTAGAATTCCAAAGTTTAATACTACATTTAGATTTCAATAAAATTTAACACACACATATATATAAAGACTTTAAAATTGAATATTCAATATCATGACTTTAAGAATTTTTATTTTTTTTTGTTTTTTTGCATTTTAATGAGGAGCTTTGCAGTTAAAAAAAATTATTTATGATCAAAATATTAATCGAAATAATAAATTAAAAACTGAAACATTATTCAAAAACATAATAAATATAATTAAAAATATACGAATAATATCTATCGGCTAATTACTAGTAGAAGTTAAACAAACTATTCAAAAATAAGAAAGAAAACAAGTAACAATTCAGCACCATAGACAAATCTTAATCACTTGTGCTAACTCTTATAGGTTAGAATCAGTTCTGATGGAAGCTAAACAAACTAGTTTTCTTGGCACGTACACCTATATTATTAAACAAATTTGTAATATTTTTGTATTTTTTAATAATTGTTTAGAATTATTTATAAATAAATAAATTTAAATATTTATTAGATACAAACAGGTTCTATTTTCATATAATTTTATATATTTTTTGATATTTATAATTTTTTAATTAATTAAGGACAGAAATTAAAAATTAACCTTATAAAATAACTTTTAGCTAGACTTAAGTAAAAATTGCGGACTTACATTGAATTATCTTTCAAAATTTAATAATTAATAGTTAAAATAAATATACGTAACTCTTAATGATAATAATTAAAAATATTTCACTTCACATTATATAGCATTATGAATATTTTTTATTTTATTTTAAATAGTTCTTTTCAATCGTATGTGACATGAATATTTTCTTAAAAGAAAAATAAACGTGCAACGTCAATATAAATTCACAATACATACTTGCATAAAAATAATTTATAAATTATTTTCTTAATAAATCTTGAATTTTTAATATTATTAGTGTATGTCTGAAAGAGTAAACAATAAAGTAAGACAATAACAAAAAATAACATTTTAAAAAATAACCAAGGCTTCAATAATTTGATGAATTTTGATGTAATTTAAGTATTTTCGGATCTTAAAAGTTTAAGTTCCTTATTTGCTTGTTTTAAAGTCTTTTTAGAATTTTAATAGTTAAAATAAAGTATCATTATAATAGTACATTGTTCAGAGTGATTTCACTTGTTTTATGTTTTTTTATAATAAATTAATATATCTTCATATAATATTTAAAATATCTCATTTGTCTTTATATTTTCAAAATAAAATAAAATAAAACATTTGTTTTTATCACAAGATAAAATTTGAAGATAATGAAACTCCTATGTAAATAACAATTTTTACTGAAAATAAAAGAACCGAAGGAATAAATTACTCTCTCTTGTCACAAGCTAAAACTTTTTCAAAAGTTATGACGATTCTCATGAGAACAAATAACTTCCTCTCTCTCCTTCAACAAATTTATAACATTAAGGCAAGTAGGTGACCGAAAATAGTAACAAAAATCGACAATCTTGTAAAACTTCGTTCTTTTTTTGAAAGGCTGAGCTCAAGAGTACAAGTACAAGCCCAAAATAGGACCTCTTATGGGCCTAAGCAATGCCTTCGGTTACTTACCCTCTTTGTTTGTTCTCTATACGATTCTCTTCTTCTTACTGGTGACTTTGTGATTTAGTCATTTTTCTTTGAAACATTTCATCCGACATCTTATATCCTTTCCCATTTACATGAATCTGACCTAAGTTTAATTTATATATGCAATCTTCTCAAGCTTAAGTATCAAGTTTTAACTTTGTAAAAGATAATATAATGAATTCAAACCCTTCTTGCCTCTCCCTCCTTGTGCTGAAATCAGATGAATGATAAGCTTTCAAGTCAAGGAAGAAACTTGGATTAAACTTTAATGACTTCAGTGATCATACACATAATGTATTGTATCGAAAATCTATCCTTTTGTACATATAATCATGTAAAGATTCCATATTATCGTGTAAAAATGTTTCTTCTTCACAACAATTTTATTATCAAATCATTAAATGCAAAAAAAAAAAAAAAAAGTAACATGTACTCTTCATTTATGCCAAGATGAGACATAAGAATGGCCACAAAAGTACGTGAGTAGCTCTGCTCCTTGGGTAAGTGCTTTTGTATATTCTTCCCATCCACAATGAACCACAGCAAAAGTAAGCGACCATTGATTAGTCTCTAGCAAGTCCAATGCACTGGCGAGCTTGCGACCATCAGATAGCACTGACCCTTCGAATTATATTAGTCTCTCTATTTTTAAAAAACAAATTAAATCGTCTATTTATTTTCAAAAACTAATTAATTATTATCTTGATCAGCATTGATTATCATTAATTTAATATTATTTTATTCTAATTTTTTTTTACATCAATCTTTATGTATTTTTTTTATTTTATTTTTTTAAATAAAAAACAAAAAGAATTAAAAATGAATAAGTTATAAATAGATTAAATTTTTTTTATTAGGATGGGATTTGGGGTTTTATATGATTGAGGAAGGTTTTAGGTAAAGTAATATAATTAGCCTTCTGATGACCAATTTTAAGTCAAGTGTTGGATTTGAATCTTTGGAGGCTAGGGGACGTATACTTGTTTATTTTGTTAAAATCTACCATTGAAATTTCTACCTTGCACAATTAAAAAGAACTCTTTAATCATCAAAAAAGCAGATGAAGTGGCTATCAATATCAGAGTTTGATTATTTGTAAATTTCAGTTTGATAGGCCATTTCCTGGAACTCAGTTTTGATAGTCCGACTTCTTCCAATTGAAGGATTACAAAGTATTGAATTTATAGAGAGTTTGGAATTTAAGACTTTTATCAACCTCTTAACAAGTTGTGGAGACTATGTAGATGGAGACCTGCAGTATAAGATGCTATACAAATCTAGCACAGTGGAGCCCATGAAAAGTCTATAGAATATTAGGTCGGATGTATAAGCCAATTAGATATTTTTTCTTATAATTCTATTTGTCCATATTATAAATAAAGGTAACATCACTTGTATTTGTAGCCGTTACTTACAAAATCTAATAAGAAATCCTAGTGCAACCGTAAAAAAATCAAGGAAAAAGTTATTCCAAGCCGGATACAATGATATGATACTAAAAGGTTTAGTTTGGAAAAATCAAAGAAAGAGTTATTCTAATGTCATATAGCTTGATGGCCAACAAGAAAGGATTCATAGCACAAGTTAAGAAACTAAAGCCTTATCAACGGTCCAAGCATGTATTGCGACGTTGTCATCCGATTAGAGAGATCATTAGTCGTGGTAACGTAAGAATATAAAAAGTTCACACGGACGACAACGTAGCCGATCCCTTAATTAAACCTTTGTCACAACTGAAAAATGAGTCTCTTACTCGATAGTCGGGATTAAAGGACATGGCTGGTTGCTCTAGTGCAAGTGAGAGATTGTTAGTGTAGGTGTCTAAAATCCAACCATATTTGGATAAGTTTGAGTTATTATATTATTATATAATTTATTTTATTAATAATAAAGAAGTCTTTTTATTAATTCTTATGCCTTATATTTATTTATTGAATAAAAATAGATAGAAGCATATGCATTTACATTAATGATTGATCGAAAGATGTGTGACAAATACTAATGCGTATAAGTGATATTATTAAATGTTACAAGTCGTAGTATTGTCAAGAATAGACATTGACTATATGTATTTAGACTCATGGTATATGATAGCAAGAAATAGATGTTAGAAAATAATATAAAATATATTTAATAGTTTGATTGAGATTTTTTTTTTTTTTTTTCACAAAATACAACATTTTCAATCATGTGCATAGTAGTTCCATCACATACCAAAAATGGATAAATAAATTGTACTGGCACAATTGCTTAAATCTGTATAGTCTAAACTACAATAAAATGCTAGAAAGTGAAAATATTTCTCCGTCTGAACTACAGTACCGAAGTGTCCAGAATTAATTAAATCAACAGCTTTCGCCCGTTGTAGGATCTTAGCATTCCCAATTGTTCATAAGTCATAACCCATTAATCCATATTTTGCTCTTTCTGTTGATTTCATTGCCTGAATGTTGGTCAGCTACCAAATTAATGTGGTGCAATCAACACCTGCCACTGCCAGATTTCAACATGCTTCTGATCTAACAGAGTTTATATATCTACTCAGAGACTGTTCCCAATAACTGATCCCGCAATTTGTATTGGTTGAAACACTAAAAGGCATCATTGTTATAATAATCTAAATATATGGTTTCATCTTAAATGAGTCCTGTTACATTGAACCAACTCGTCAGTAGTTTTTCGTCAATTTGTCCAAATTTGTATATTTTGTTATTTCCATTTATAATTTTATTCAAACCGATCTATTAATTATAGGTGCTTTTTTTTTTTTTTTTTTTTAATGATTGGACTGTGCTTCCAGCCCAGTCCTATGGGCCTGGTGTTAGCCCAACCAAGCCTATCTTTTTTTTGTGTTTTTTTGTACTTTTTTCATTGATTATTATTTACTCAAAATAAAAATTTTCTTTTTTATGCTTTTATTTATTATTTACTGGAAATAATTTTTTTCCATAAATAATGGTTACTTTTTTATTTTTTATAGATTCATTAACTAAAATTAAACACTCTTATAATATAAATTGATTTTTTAAAAAATAAACATTTAATTGCAAGTTTTATTTTTTATTTTTTTATTGATCAAAATAAAAAATATTTCTATGATATATTTAAATTTAATTATGATATATATATTGTGAGAATTTATTTAATTTAATATATATTATGCAATTAGTGTTACATTAAATAAATTCTCACAATTAGTGTTAATTAATTTTTATTTTTTTTTGCTTAGGTTTTTTTAATTATTTAAAATATTAGAACAAAAAATTAATGGTCACTTTTTTTAAAAAAACTATTTTTATGGACTGATTAACTAAAATTAAACATTCTTCTAATATAAATTTATTTAGCATATTCTTCTAGTTTGATTTTTTTTAAAATAATTAATTGTATGTTTTCTTTCTTCTTTTTTGTTATTGATCAAGATAAAAAACATTCCTATGATATATTTAAACTCAATTATGATATATATATATATATATATATATAATTAAAAAAAATTCTCACAATTAGTGTTAATTAAATTTTATTTTACTCCTAATTTTTTTTAACTATTTAAAATAATAATAAAATATTATATAGATTTAATCGCGACAGCATACGGCCGGGTATTATATTAGTATGATCTATACAAGCATTAATCTTGTGTGTACGGTTAGCCTTTTTCAAACGTAAGAATAGAACACACGAATAGAAACTTGCAACCAGTACTAAATTTATCATTATATCCGTGATCTCTATCTTTCGTTTGGCTCAATCCTTTTAGAACGTGGAATAAATTTACTAATATGGAGGATGGTTCGTCGAATTAACACTAGAACAATATCTGTATCCGTCAGGACGTGGAAAAACATGATTATATTTCGTTATCGAACAGATATTTATAGCACTTGATCTTCTCGTGATCAGAAACTTCCATATTTCGTAGCAATGCAAGCTCTCGATGTTTGAACAAATAATGTTCACCTACAACTCAAATAGAGTCCCTGTAATGGTAGCTAAATATGACACATGTAAAGATCACATTATTCTTGATCTTCAGAAATTCATTTCACCGTCATATTTGTCATTCGTTCAACATTATAGTCAACCAGAACTTTCATTTCACTTGGAAAGATTATAAAACTAGTCGTGTACGGAGGTTTCTGATCACAAGAATATGAAGGTTTTTTTAGAGCATGAAGTCCATAGTCCTTCATTTGCTCTATGACGAATGCAGTCAAAGTCCTAGATCACAGTTTTAGAATCCCAATTGTCATCGCATAATTTTCCTTGCTTTAGAAAATGGAATTGCAGTACATTATACTTGTGTATGTTAACTGTATATAATTTCAAGTCCACGTGAAGACAGTCTATCTCGTCAAAGTCCAAAACTTCAAGCATCCTATTAAATAGCCGTGTGGGAGAACATTTAGATTTTTTGTTCTCTGAGAAGTTTATGTTTGAAGGATATGGTAGCTTGCATAAGGGCCCTGTTCAATAAATATTATCATGTCTTACATGCTTGTAGAAATCAGCACCGCATCTGGAGTTTGTAGTTGAATATACTGATTCAAAGTCAATAAGATGATCACGAGAATGTGGCTCCTTTTGTGATTCTAAACTTCACCCTGTTTTTCCACTTCGTTCGTCAAAGCCCTTGCATGACTGTTAAACATCATATTTGAATTTTTCTCTTAATTAACTTGTGATCTTTGATAGTTGGAAAGAATATGTTTCTCTATATATATGCTAGTCATGCAGCAGGTCTAATCATAAATTCACTTGAATCCTGATCTTTCTCAAGGATTTTTTTTTTTTTTTTTCTTAAGGCCGTGAACCAGAGGAGAAGAGAGATCGTAGATATTTGTATGCCAGAAATCATGTCAGCATCAATAGAGGCTTTAGCAATGGCAGGTGTGGATTATCATACACACAATATGAAAGTTGAAGAATGGGAGCAAGAGGAGTTGGAGTTACCTCCAGCACATTTACTAGCTGAAGAAGAAGAAGAAGAAAAAGAAGTTGAAAGAAATAGCAAGTACAGCTTTCATATATGTCGATGTTGGCTGTCAAGCTGCCCGGCGAAAGATGGTGCTGGTAGTGATTATGCAATCATCAAGCTACCCCGGAATGTCATCCAAAAGTAGGCCAAGTGGGAATCTGATCATGTAAGACGATGTGACCAAATGATGCTGAGAGCCATATCTGTAGTTCCTGTCTGCCAGTTTTAGCAAATGTTGTTTGTTAGTTATGATTCCTTGCTGTTGTTTAGAGTTTAGCTTCGTATGATTTTTTGATTTGTAGATTCTGAGTCAGCTTTGTAGCAGTTTAAGATCTATTCCTTTTCTTTTAAGAATGAATAACTCTAGAAAATCCTAGACTACAACATCACGACTAATGATCTGGTTTTTGATTTCAATATGAAATCCAAAGAAATGCATCCAACCCTTCCTTCCAAGTAGCAGTATGTAGTGAAGACTGTCAACGTCTTTGTAGAGCAGATTTCAAATATAGTTCGTAGGGTTAGAAGAGGGTGTCTTCGTTCCATTAGACAATGCCTTATTTGAGACTCGGACACAATTGGTAGGCCTGGTCAATTGCAACAGTGATGCGTTAATAAATTGCTTCTCATGTCATTTGTAATTTTTGCTATTTTCCCAAGATTTGTTGCATCTGCACAAGTATCTTATGTGAATTGTGAACATGTGATATTCATTAAATCTTTTCATTTTGGTTTCGGACAGGTTGGTTCATATATCTATTCGGTTGGGTCCTTCCTCCGATAAAATCCAAAACCCATATAAATCTGAAAGAAAAAAATGAAAAAGAAAAGAAAAAGACATAACTAATGTCACGTCAGTGACAATTATATAAGCAACTTTGGCTTATTTTGAGTGAGCGGCTGCTAAAAAAAAAATAAAAGAGAGAGAGGGGCAAAAAAATGTGTTTTTCATCTTTACTGTTTTGATTGGATGGTAATTTCAAATCCAATCAAGATAAAATTTGATATGTTATTTTTAAGGATTAGTTTTTTAACTTGAACAGTATTTATAATTTAAAAAAAAAACTTTTATTTTTTAATATTTTCTAAAAACCTAAATTTGGTTTATTTGAGTGAGGTACTCACTACAAACAACGTTCAAATAACGACAAAAATTAGTGATAGATCAACTTCCGTCACTAAATAGCGGGTAAATAACGATAAAATAATGTTTATTAGAACCATCAACAAAATAGAGATGAATTAGTGATGGTTTATCGAGCAATCGAAACTAATCCATCACTAAATTTAACGGTAAAATCTTCCTAAGAGTTTTAGAGATGGTTTGACGATGGATTTGCTAGAAACAATAATAACGAAATTACTAATCAGCGAGCAGGACGATGATTCATCATCTCCATTATTTTGTTTATTTGTTTATAGTTTTTTTTGTTATTACAATTAACAATACAGGATTATTGATTTTTTTTTAAAAAAATTCCTTCATTTAGCAATGGAATTGTGAGGATCTTAACTTCTATAATTTAGCAACACCCATTCCATCACTATTTAGCAATAGACATAAGTGTGTATAGCGACGAAATTCATATTGTCTCTAATCCGTTGCTAATCGTGTATAGCGATAGAATCACATTATTATCTAGTTTCTATGGGCATTCATTCAACATTGTTATGCAAAACTTTAATTTCACACAGGTAGAAATTATAGGACAACTAATGTACTGGAACTTTCTGATCACAAGAATTTGAAGTTTTTAAGAGCATCAAGTTGAAGTTCATGATAAGTCCTTCATTTCTTGATTGATAAACTAACTAAGGTCATGCATCTCCACCAGTATCTTCTGTGAATTGTGAATGTGTGATATTAACAAAATTTTTCCTTTTTGGTTCCAGATAATTGGTTCCATCTGAACATTAATTGTTAACAACATCCGTCAGAAGTTATTCCTTTGTTCTCATTTTACATATGTTTACATAAGAAAGAAATGGAAAAATTATTGAACTTTTGCTATGCGGATTTAATTATGAAAGAAAACGTAAGCTTCTACGTCAAACTAGTAAAAACTTCTCGTTTTTTTTGTTAGAGTTTAGGAATTGGAACTTAGAAGTTCTAAATTTAAGTTTTATTAGGGTGCGTTTGGGGTTTTATAGGATTGAGAAAGGTGTTAGATAAAGTAATATAATTAGTCTTCTAATGACCAATTTTAAGTCAATTGTTTGATTTGAATCTTTGGAGGCTACGGGGCATATGCTTGTTTGTTTTGTTAAAATCTCTCATCGAAATCTCTGCCCTGCACAATTAAAAAATACTCTTTAATCATCAAAAAAGCAGATTCAGTGTCAGAGTTTGATTATCTGTAAACTTCAATTTGGCAGGCCATTTCCTGGAATTCAGTTTTGATGTTCCAACTTCTCCCAATTGAAGGGGTTACAAAGTATTGAATACCTATAGAGCTTGGAATTTAAGACTTTTATTGACCTCAGTCTAGTAGTTGTGGAGACTGATGTAGATAAAGGATTGCAGTATAAGACGTTATACGGATCTAGCACGGCGAGCCCCGAAAGGTTTACAAAATATTGGATCATATGTATAAGCCTGTTAGGCTTTTTTCTTATAACCTTAGTTGTCTACTTTATAAATAGAGACAACTTCATTTGTATTTGTAGCGTCACTTATAAAACCTAATAAGAAATTCTAATGCAACCGTAGAGTATGCACCATTACCGAACCCTATAAAATCTCTCGTGTCGTTGGATTGTGATTTAAAGGGTCAAGTTCACGAGGATGTTCAGATTTAGGTCAGCATGAGATATTTCAGACCTATTTGTCACGTTTGTTAAACATTCTAGCATTAACTTGTCAATTATTAGCCTTTTTCTCGATAAATACAAGAAATGTGTTTCCAAAAATCTCTCTACCTTAAAAAGTCTTTCTTCTGTTCAATTTTGATGATCTTATCAACATAGTTAGAATTTAAGACTAGTAGGTTATGCACGGCATGCAAGTATGAAAAGCTTCTCGCTTGTCTAAATAGCATCGATCATGCATTTTTCATTTCAAGTATGAACTCAAACTAATTCATGCCTGATAATGGACTACGGAAATTTCTAGTCACGAGAAGATCGATGTTTAGTAAGCACATAATCCACAATGCTGACGAGCAGTTGATCTGCTCCATGACGTATACATTGATGAAATAAGGCCCTGTACTTTCTATCTCCTGGTAGATAGAATTCAAGTCAGGATCCCATAGTTTTTCCTATCTGTGTTGCTGCACTTGCACATCCTACCCGTGTCCCAGAAAATGTTAAATTCTCAAATTTATTTGCTGGTTCAGCAAGATATCCAGTTTAAACATTGATCTTGAATTTGTCTTGGAGATATATTACGCAACTCTTTTCCCCTGATCCCAACAATTGCAGCCCATCCAAGTGAGAGGTAAGGCCAAGGCAGAGAGGAAATATCACGGATATAGTGAGTAGTGACACATGATTGATTGTACATACAAATCTTGTGCACCTTTACTTTACCCAACCAACTAAAGAAAACAAGAAATACTTGCCATATAAATAGGTAGCATGTCATCCTGTCATATAGGAATCAGAAGTGAAATTTTGACCAACAGTGTTAAGTAGATACAACAGTATAGAAGAAGCAATGTCTATTGAAGCTCTGGCAATGGCAGGGGTTGATTACGCAGACTGTGGCATCAACCTAGAAGTGTGGGAGCAGGATAGCTCGGAACAGCCACCCCTACATCCGGTAGGTGAACAGAATTCAAGCTTGGAAATTGATAGAAGGAGACAAGATATGTTACTTGAAGAAAAATTGTGGAAAGCAAAAATACTGGAATGGGCTAAAGCTATTGCTGCAATGCACGTTACATCAGTTCATCAGCTCAAACCAAACGACGCATTTAGCTAATTATGTTCGACATTGAAGAATGCATCAGCCTTTAACAAGAATTCAAGCATCAAATCCAATGTGCTATAGCCAATGAGCTCCACTTTATTTTCGTAACTAGTAAAATCACAGAATGAGATTGTCCATAAGTGATTATTGAATGGTGTTATTCCAGTTTCTGTTCGGTTTTCCTACTTTAGGCCTGTTGTTAATGAATTTATGTATCCATAAATTTCATTGCATCATTAGATCCATGTATAAAAGTTAAGTAGTTTTCATTTGGACTGGGCGTAGGACATGAAAAGAGAGGAATCGCTCCAAAAAAGTGGTATTAACTTTAATGCACATAGGCAACTAACTATTTGAACCAGAAAAGAAGCTGGCTTTTATGAAAATCACATGTTTGTATATATTCTGTGCAGAAGGAGAGGATTGCATGTATGTCATTGGAAATCATCTTGAAATTAATTGATCCAAAAATCAGATAATCATACTTCTGTTAATTCAAGACTTTGATCATTGCAATATCAGCCCTGGCTTCAACTAGCCTTCAATGGCTTTCAGCATCATTTTTTCTGCCATTTGGATTTTGGCATCCTCTTAAATGAAATTATCTTCTGGCCTAGTTTTAAATGGCATTCAGGGGTGATCCAGCTCTCAGCATTAGTAAAACCACCATCATCTTTTGGAGAACCGCTCAACCAGCCAAATTAAGTTACAGTAAAGCTGCAATTTCTAATTTTCTCCTTCAAAGAGTAAATGCAATGGAGACTGCTCGAAGTCCTCATGCTCCCATTTTTTCACATAAATACTGCATATATGATAATCCAAACCCAGCCATTGCCAGTGCTTCTATGGATGCTGACATGATTCTTTCACACATTATATGAAAGATATACAACCACATAAAAAGCTATATTCTCGTTAGTAGAAATAGCAATGGAACTGATATAAAATGAATATTTACTTTACCCGACCCTATAAATATCTACTAAAAATATTGAATGGTTATTGAAATACATAAATATAAAAAAATACATATTCACTAATATAGTTTTAGGATGTGGGTATCCACTTTTTACCCTATTAATAGTCATTAATTTATTTAGATTTTTTTATTAACATGTAAGGATTTAATTGCATAAAATTTAAAAATTAAGTATCAAAATATTTTTTTTCAAAAAAGTTAAGGACAAAAAAACTTATAAATAAATTACCAAAATACAAAAAAAAAAAAATTAAGGATTAAAAAAAATTTTCTTAAAAATTATAGGGATTAAAATAAATATTTTTGACAAATTAAATTTAGCATGTATTTAATGGATATTAAATGATCTAATTGCATAAAATTAAGTATAAAATTTAAAAACTAATATAGTTTCAAGGTATGGGTACTAATTTTTACCCTATTAATAGTCGATAATTTATTTAGATTTTTTTATTAACATACAAGGATCTAATTGCATAAAATTTAAAAATTAAGTATCAAAATATTTTTTTCCAAAAACTTTAAGGAACAAAAAAACTTATAAATAAATGACCAAAATCCAAATAATAATAATAATAAATTTTAGGGATTAAAAAACTTTTCTTAAAAATTATAGAGACTAAAATAAATATTTTTGAAAAATTAAATTTAGGGGGTATTTAATGGATATTAAATGAACCAATAAACTAGTATGGATCGAGTATGGATTGGGTAAACGTTTATAAGGTAATTTCTAAATGAGTAATAAATAAATGAAAGGATATGATCACAACATATGTTGATTATGATGCAAGCTTAATAGCTATAATTCCTTGCTCTTTAAAACTTGATACTCTTATAAATGAAAGGAATAGGAAGTTTAACCATAAACCAGAGTTTGAATGTCAACGTAAGAGGATGAAGACAAGTCACAAGCTTAAAGGCTATTGTCCAATGCATGTGTCATTGAGATGTTCTCTTAAAACCTTGATAATTCTTATGATAAAAAACCCTTATAGTCCTATGTGTTGAGAGAACGAAAGAGAGAGAGAAAGCAACTAAAAGTTTGTTATTTGGTTTGTTATGTTATCGTTACAACAATAACAAAGAAGGTATATATATATATATATATATATATATATATATATAGACACACACCGAGAGAAAAGGCTCATTTGTAGCTCACTTGTATCTTATCTAACTACACTCGCATCCTTTTACTATATACCCATACTAAATACATTACAATTATACTCTTAGCACTCCCCCTCAAGTTGGTAGTTTATACATGTCATAAACTCCCAACTTGCGCATGAGATGGTGATGACTCTTGGTAAAAATGTCCGCAATTTGCTCCTTTGTATTAAAAAACATTATCTTGATCATTCCTTCTTTGAGTTTTTCTCTAACCAAATGATAATCTATCTCGATTATGTTTCGTTCTTTCATGAAAGACTCGGATTGGAAGCTATATAAACTACTGTCTTGTTGTCGCAGTTCATCTCTACTGTCTTAACCCCTGTAATTTGTAGCTCATTCAATAATCCAACTAACCATATTATCTCACATGTAGCAGAAGCCATGACTCGATACTCAGCCTACTGCTACTGAACATGAGATTATGTTTTGTTTCTTAGCTTTCCAAGATAAGATGGAATTCCCAAGAAACACACGAAGCCGATCAATGACTTCCTTGTCATAGGGCAAGCTGCCTAGTCGAGTCACATAACACTTTGAGTTGCGGCTAACTTGAAGAAGACATCAAAATCCCAAGGCTTGGTTTGCCTTTAAGATATCTAAGTACCCTTATAGTTGCATTCATGTGGAAGGTCTTTGGTTGGTGTATGAACCGATTAAGAATTTGTACAACATAGGTAATGTATGGCCCGGTGATAGTCAAGTAAATCAATTTTCCAACTAACCTTTGATATTCAAAAGGATTAGCTAGAAGTGGATCGGTATGCCTACCGTGTGTTGCTTCATCATATTGCACTATAGTGAGTTTCGGATTTTGCTCCGAGGCATTTCCACGGGTTTGGTGCCAAGTAATCCAGACATCATTCAACAATTTCAGAATGTATTTCCTCTTATTCAAATAAATTCCCATAGCAGACCTTGCAACCTCAATTCCTAGAAAATATTTCAAGGAACCAAGGTCTCTAATGTGAAAGTTATCATGCAAAAAAACTCTAAGCTTCGTGTATTTCATGTACATCATCCCCCGTAATCAAAATATCATCTATATATACTAATAAGATAACCCTCTTTCCATTTGTCAACCTAATGAACATTGAATAGTCATGTTTAGATTGAATAAAACCAGCTTAGAATCATTCTTTCGAGTGAACTTTGAGTTCCACCGACGTGAAGCTTGTTTTAAACCATAAAGAGACTTCAACAATCTACATACTAAACCCTCTCTCTAAGTGTGAAGTCCAAGTGGTAAAGTCATGTAGACTTCTTCATAAAGATCTCCTTGGAGAAAGGTATTGGTCACATCCATTTGGTATAATGACCAATCATGTATAAGTAGCCAAGGCAATGACTATTCTGACGAGTAACCATCTTGACTACTAGAGAAAATGTTTCACCATTGTCAATACCCTCTTGTTAAGTATAACCTTTAGCCACTAACTTGGCTTTATATCATTCAAAACTACCATCCGAATTATACTTCACTTTGTAAACCCATTTGCATCCTATAGGTTTCATATGGCATGGCAAAGGAACTAACTCCCTTGTTTCGTTCAATTCAAGAGCTTGGATTTTCTTGGTCATGGCATTAACCCACCGAGGATTTTTAATGGCTTCGAATAAGAATCAAGTTCGGGAATGAAGAAATGAAAGCCAAAAAAACAGTATGGAAGGAAGAGATAGAATCATAAGAAATGTAATTGGACATATAATACCGATTAGAAGATAGTGAAACATAATGTGATTGAGGTAATGTGGGACAAGCATAATCGATAAACCAAAAGGTACTTTAGATTCTCCGAGAAGAGCACCTAAGAGGAATCATATCGGACGTAATGGAAGGAATATAAGACACGGAATTGCCGTAAGAAGACTCGTAGAGTTCGTAGAGCAAAAATTGAATCAAAAGGTATAGGTGAAATAGGATCGGGAGATAATGAATGAGCTAGACCACTAGTTTCACTAGAAGAACTAAGCTCATCTTCATATGGCTAGATAGAAGTAGGACAAATAGAAACAATAACATCATGAGAGTCGATAAGGAAGGAAGAATATGAAAAAATAGATTTATGGAACATGACATCTCTAGAAATAAAGAAGGTATGAGTTGTTAAGTCCATCACTTTATAACCCTTTTGTGAATAGGGATATCCCAAAAGAAGACAAGGTTTAGATCTAAGAGCAAATTTGTCACGACAAGGTAGGACTTTGGCATAACATAAAAATCTAAACACTTTGAGATGTTTAAAGATAGGAGGCTTATGAAACAATATCTCAAAAGGACTTTGTCCATGCAAAAGTGGTGTTGGAGTTCTATTGATGATGTATGTAGAGGTTAAGATACAAACCCCTCGAATTGAAAAGGTACTTTGGACCGAAACATAATAACTCTAACAATATTGAGGATATGGCTATGTTTTCTCTCCACTATACCATTTTGTTGAGGCATATAAGTTATAGTAGTTTCACGGATAATACCCTTGGAAGAGAAGAATTTTTGACAAGTCTGTTTGTAAAAACTCGGAACCTCTATCGGCTCTAATTCTTTGAATTAAGCAAGAAAATTGTGTTTGAACCAAAGCATGGAAATCAATGATTAATTAAAGTGTTTAAGATTTGGTTTTCATGAGAAATATCCATGTCCCTCTAGAAACATCATTTACTATAGAGAGGAAATATCTCTCTTGATTGTAAGTAACATGTTTATAAGGTCCCCATATATCTATGTGAAAATTTTCAAACGTGGTATTAGTGGTGGAAGTTCTTGGTAGAAAAGGTAGTCTAGTTTGTTTTGCAAGTGGGCAAACATCACACAACAAATCATAATTTGTTGAAGAAAATTGTAATTCGGGTATCATATGAAGTCCGGTAAGAGAGATATGGTCAAACCTTTTATGCCAAAGTACTACATCATCTTTAACGGATTGGTGATCAACAATAGCTTTATTACGTAAACTAGAATGAGCACAAAAATTACAAGAACAAAAATTGTCTATGATGTTTGATTCAAAGGTATATCGTGAGATATGATATAAGCCATCTCTAAGTTTACCAATCCCCTTTGTCTTTCAAGTCTTGGGGTCTTGAAAAAGACGAAATAGGGGTAAATTGAGGCTAGACAATTGTTATCGATAGTGAAAAATGAGCCAATCGATAATATATTGAATTTGAAATCCGATAGGTAGAGGACATCATGAAGGCTCGGTTGTGGTAATTTTACCGAACCTATGTGAGTGACTAATGTTTTCCTGCCATTAGGTAATCGCACAATGAGGCTAGATGCTAATTTCCTAGGATTATCCAAGATATTAAGTTGTCCCGTAATGTGAGTATTAGCACTAGTATCTACTATCTATTAATCAACGAAGTGTGCAAATCAACATAACCACAAAAGTAGTTACCTGCCATGTTTGCAACCAAGTCATCCTTATAAACACTTTTCCCTAAAGCTCGTATTATTGGCTAACGACTCCAAAATCCGGTGATACCGTTGTTAAGAAAAACAAGTGGAGTGGTTGTCATATCTAAATTTCTCCCCACTCGAATTTTGATCTCCCACATTCCGCACTTGAAATTCTTAATGATTGTGAGAATGAGTATGGTCATGCCTCATATAATTTGCATGGTGTGTATTGTGTACACATTGCTCGTCTCTACCAATGTTGCCTTTAGGTATTCTTCCTCTATTATTACCAGTCATTCTATTATTCAAGCTTGGGTATCCGTGTAACTTGTAACAAGAATCCTTGTTGTGACTAGAAATGTGACAATAATCACAAGTGATATCTCTATGCCAATTCATTTTATGAAAATTTCGCTTTATTTGATAGTGAGATTTGGCGTAATAGAAAGTAGCAGATACTTCTTGTTATATGTGAATTCCTCGTTGTGATTCCTTATTTGACACCATGGAATATGCTTGTGAGTGAGTAGGCAGAGCATTCATCAATAAAATTTATGATCTCATAGGCTAGAAATGGTCATTTAATCCCATCAAGAATTGCATCATTTTGCGTTGTTGTTTATATTCAACAAACGGTTGTGAAACTCGACTTTTACAACTTGGAAAAACACAAGTGAGTATGGGAATCAATGAGTCATATTGATCCCATAGATTTCTCAACTTTAATAATACACTACTACACTCTCTGTACCTTGAGTTAAAGAGTGAATCGCTTTGTGCAGAGCAAATACCTTAGCTCCATGTTGCTTGTCAAACCTTTCCTTCAAATCTCTCCAAACCTCTTCGACTAATTGGTAATATACCAAGCCATTAAACAACTCGTGTGGATACCGAATTCAAAAGCCGGGCATGAACCAAGGCGTTGCACTTTTTCCATTGTGAATAGTCAAGCGAATCCGCATTTGGTTTCAAGCATTTTCTAGTGACAAATCCATCTTTACTTTTTGCTTCTAAGGAGATCATCATAGCTTTGCTCTATGAGTTGTAATCTTCTTTTCCTCTAAGCAAATGAGAAATAAGAACTAAATTCGGAGTATCTAAAGGATGGAGATATAATGGATCATTAATATCTCTTGAAATAGCTCGGTGAAAGCTTGCATTATTGACATGATTCGCCATGAAATTTCTTCAAAAAACATAGGCTAATCGTAAATCGGATGCAATATCATGTTATGATTGAAGAAGAAAAAAACCTAATTTGGTTTGGGAATGTCGAAGAAGATTTGGTGCTCGATACCATGTTGAGATAACGAAAGAGAGAGAGAAAGCAATGAAAAGTTTGTTATGTTATTGTTACAACGAGTAATAGAGAAGGTATATATATATATACACCGAGAGAAAAGGCTTCTTTGTAGCTCACTCGTATCTTAGCTAACCACACCCGCATCCTTCTACTATATACACATACTAAATACATTACAATTATACTCTTAACACTATGCATAATCTATTTGGAGTAGTCTCCGCACTATAATTATAAATGAAGCATATTATGCATAATAGTAACTATGATATTTAAGCCCTTCTAAAATCCGATTAAACTTCCATAATTTTGCACCATTCAACAATTTGAATAGAATATGTGCACCGCCAGATTCACAACCAAGTAAAATTAGTAGTTCTATTGGTTTGTAAATTCAGTATGACATATGATGCTAAGTCTATAGTTTTAAATCGTGGATACGCTTAAAAAAATGATTGTAGTGACCATTGTAAATCATGGTTTATCATAATAATAAAATAATGATCACGGTCATTATATGATACTGAATAGCGGTAATAGAGTTTCCCAAAACCATTATATATTTAAATCTATGATGTAAACTGAGGTGGCTGTTTAGTCCCAGCAAGTTTTAGTGAATAATGTTTAATACATTTTGTGGCATTGCAGACCAAGCTAGAAAGAAATGAACTACTTTGGTATCTGCAATTAATGTATGTACCTAACTATACAGAGCGAAAAGCCGATATTAATGACATTTGTCCATTTTCTACTCTTGGGATATTAGCAGTAACTCCCATGAAACCAAAACTTGAAAAGGCTCCGGTCATATGCAGATATTCCTATATTTAGCTACTATTGGAAAGTTTAAAGTTCATGAACATGTTGAACTCATACAACATATTTTAACAATTTATCTGAAACTGTAATACATCTATATATATTTTCAGTTATCCAAATTTCAACATAATCCAAAGCAGGAATAAATAAAGACAATAAATAAATCCAAATATGAATACACTATACACCATATAGAAAAACTTCACTCTTCTATTCAGACAGGATTCATAATAACTAGCTAATAAGAAACTATGGACAACTTCAAATGGAGAGCTTTGATTGGGCATCTATTATATATATCTCTATCTCCTACCCAATCCTGCGATCATCAACAACCTTATAATGGCTTTCACCATCAATCCTATGGTACTCATGAGTTTTGTCTTCCTCTTAGCCAGTGTCTCCTCTGGTTTTGGATGAGAATACTTGGCGATTTGATCACTATCATTATCATCATCACCATCACAACTATCTTGTAGAGGGTGACATGGAAAACTAATGTAGGTAACAGGAAAGCCACACCTATGATCCCTAACTTCTTCCACAAGTAAGTGAGGCGGAGGCAGCTCCGAGTCATCATCTTCCCATTCTTCAACATCCACACCCCATTCAAGATAATTAGTGCCTGCCATTGCTAAGGCTTCTAGTGAAAGTGACATGAATTGTGCACAGCACTATTCAATACGTAGCATCTATTCTTCCATTCAGATAGAACAACAATGGTTGTCTGAAAATAGCCCGAAGTCTATTTATAGCAAAACCAGCTGCATGACAATTTTGATCGATGCCAAAAAGAGGAAGACTAGTACTTTTCCCTTCAAAATCACGGTTTAGCATTCAAAAAGAATCAGAAGGTTCTGTTCAACTTGGAAGCGAGATATATGGAGAGGGGAAGAGGGGTTTATATACATATAAGATTTAAATCAATAAAGAGCCAATGCTCTCGTGATCATTATATATTGACTAATTTTCTTCTACCGCTCTTCATGCAATGCTCCAACGGAAGTGAATAGTGATTCTTATTCTATCCAGGCATTATTTATATATCCACTAGATAAACCTCTCTTCTCATATCAAATTGCAGTACAGAAGACTTGCTACAATAACATGCGACTGATCAGGGTCAGGTTGTGAACAGAATATAGTTCATAGTTTTTGAATGATAAGTTTGAGATGAGTGACAACAAATCATGGAAAAGCACCTCTTTTCTTGGGAATTCAAGTGGTGATTCAGCCCATTATCCATTAGTGTTATGGTATATATATTTGATGTATTTTGTTTCCGCGTTTTTTCCACGGCTTATTTGAGTGCGCGGCTGCTAAAAAAAAAAAAAAAAAAAGCCAAAAGGAGAGAAGGGGGATTTTTGCGAGAGAGAGAGAGAGAGAGAATGTGTTTTTCATCTTTACTAATTTGATTGGATGGTAATTTCAAATCCGATCAAGATAATTTGATATGTTATTTTTCAGGATGAGTGTTTTTTTAACTTGAACAGTAGTGATAGTTGTTTAATTGTTTAATTTTTTTAATTAATTTAATTTAACTGTTAATTTAAATTTAATTGTTTAGAATTAGAATCAATTAAGTTAATTTAATTTATAATTAATTAATTAATTAGGTTAATTTTGTTTCATTGGTTGAATTATAATTTTATTTATATTAAAACTTGTTAACTTAGTGTTATCTTAAATTTAATTTGGTTAGAATTAGAATTAATTAAGTTAATTTGATTTATAATTAATTAATTAATTAGGTTAATTATGTTTAATTGGTAGAATTATAACTTTATTTATATTTAAACTTGTTAATTTATTGTTATTTTAAATTTAATTTGGTTGGAATTAAAATTAATTAAGTTAATTTGATTATAATTAATTAATTAATTAATTAGGTTAATTATGTTTAATTGGTTGAATTGTAACTCTATTTATATTAAAATTTGTTAATTTATTTTTATTCTAAATTTAATTTGGTTAAAATTATAATTAATTAAGTTTAATTATTTCGTATACAATTATAAAGTGTGTCAAGATACGTCGTAGTGTATCGAAGCCGAAGGGTCGGTGATCCTTGAGAATTGAGGAGAAATAAAGTTAGTTCAATGCTCTGTTATGGAGGTAGGAGGATGAGTTTGAGATTTAATTTTGATGGACTATTTGAGATAATTATCAATCTTAGTGTGCGTAAATTGATTGTTGGTTGATTTAATTTCAATATTTGTGTGATCATTTAGAGTGTTTATTAATTGAAAAAAGTGCAAATTACAGAGGAGAATCATGTCGAAATTTTGTTAGATGTTTAGAAAAATTACAAGGGATATATTTTTATAGATTTTTATTTGTTTTAATTCATCATAATTTAGAATATATTTTCAGTCGAATTGCTATTCATTTGTTAAACTCGTTTCAAGTGTTATTATAAAGTTATGCCAAATATATTGGCCGATTTCATTACCGTGTCGGTGGTCGTGGATCCGATGTTGGTGCGACTAATAATGACCGTGTACATCGACGTAGCACTACTAGCGCAAGTGTCCGGGATCGTGGACTTGATAGTGGTGCCGCACATCTACATCCCCTATAGTAGTGCCTTCACCGGTAGTTTCGCTACTATGGATGATCACACTAGGGTTTCCTCGGCTCCAAGAAGCTTTATTGGATCCGATAATAGACGGACCATTTCGATCGTGAATAAATGATGAGTAATATGTTTTACATGCGATAATTAGTTTTATATTTTTATATATTATATTAGAATTATCAATTAATCACTTATTTATTATTTATTTGTTTTGTTCGACAACTTGATTCCATCAAACAAGTCGACGTCATTGGCTCCACATGAAAGTGTATCTCTATGGACACAAAAGACTTTTAATTAATGATTTTAGGATAACATATTAATTATTTATTTATATTTCTTTTAAAGTGTTAATTTAACATGAAAAATACTAATATTATTATTTTTTCCTTTGAATAGAAGTATTTTTTATGGGATGCGACAATCGACATACCGATTAAGGATATGTTGAAAAGTTTAGCATAGAGGTAGTACAACAACATGCTTAAAAAGCTGAAGCATAAGAGTAATAAACTTATGTTTATTAAACATAAGGTGTGGGAAGCATGGCAATGGGATTGGGCCACTCTCGAGTATCGGGCTCGATCTCATTAGGGTTTTTGAAACTACATGTCGGGGACGGATTATGTCAATGTTGGCCCATCCAAGCATACTGGAGGGTCTATCTCTTTGATGGAGCATATTGAGCGATTGGTAAATCCTATATTATCCTTTATGTTATAAATTAATTTTTGCATTTATAGAATCTCATATTATCTTATTTATTTTTTTAACATAATAAATTAGGTAATAATCCAAATCCTTACGAGTTGTTCATGACAACTCACAAGCAAAAAGATGAGATATTCGTCGACATGTTGTTGTAGATAATAATGATAAGGTTTTATGTTTTCCAAATATATATACATCTATCGATAGAATCTAAAAAATATATTTAAGATTTAATATTATAATTATTTCATCTGCTATAAGAACGCATGCGATCAATGCAAAAGGCATCTAATAAGCGATAGCAATAGGATGATTCATCGTCTCTAGATATCGATATATTCAAAATATATTTAGATACTCGTTGGAAGGGAGAAGAAGTAGAGAGTGTACGATATTGAAACTTATGCGTTCTAGTGTTACTTTCATTCTAATGTTAACTTCTCTTCGCCATTTCTCGGTATCCTAGTGATAATATCCAAGAGGTTTTTACTCGGTACGAAGATAGGATTAAGAGGTTGAAGGCTACCATCCTGCAATAGGCTAGTTAAGTTAAATCCATATAGAGTCAATTGCGGATAATGATTAGGTTGTTACGGAACTCGCAATAGCCTCACATCCCTCTTGTCGATCCTTTCATAACCTAGGAGTTAGTCGTTCCTCTCAACACCCAACGGTCGAAAGATGATGCAGGAGATGATGAAAATAAGGACTAAGTTTCTTGTTTTTTAAAAAAAGTTTTTAATGTTTTTGTACATCTTAAAAAATTTATTTCTTTTATTTTAGTTTATACAATTTTAATTTTATTAAATAATATATCATGCTTTAATAAAGTGTTATTTATAGTTTTTTGTTATTATAATTTACAATATACGATTATTGATTTTTTTAAAAAAAAATTCCTTCGTTTAGCGACGGAATTGCGAGGATCTTAACGACTATAATTTAGCAACACCCATTCCGTCGCTATTTAGCGATGGATGTAAATGGAAATAGCGATGGTTTGACAATGGATATAAGACCTTACAAATAACTATTTTAGATTGATTTAGAGACAAAAATTCAATAAATTAGTGATGGTTTTTTTGTTGCTAATCAGCAATGGCAAACAAATTTCAATTACTAAGAAATACTAAGCACCATATTAACGACGAAATGCATATTGTCTCTAATCCATCGCTAATTAGGTACAGCGATAAAATCACATTATTATCCGAGTTTCTATGGTCATTTATTTAAAATTGTCATGTAAAACTTTAATTTCACATAGGCGAAATTATAGGACACCCGATGTACCGAAACTTTCGATCACAAGAATTTGAAGTTTTTAAGAGCATCAAGTTAAAGTTCATGATAAGTCCTTCATTTCTTCATTGATAAACTAATAAGGTCATGCATCCGCACTAGTATCTTCTATGAATTGTGAATGTGTGATATTCACAAAATCTTTCCTTTTGGTCCCGGACAGGTGGTTCCATCCGAACATTAATTGTTAACAACATCCGTCGAAGTTATTCCTCTGTTCTCATTTTACATATGTATACATAAGAAAGAAATGGAAAAATTACTAAACATTTGGTATGCGGATGTAATTATGAAAGAAAACATAAGCTTATATGTCAAACTAGTAAAAACTACTTTTTTTTGTTTTTTTGTTTTTTTTTTTAGAGTTTAGGAATTGGAACTTAGAAGTTCTAGATTTAAATTTTATTAGGGTGGGTTTGGGGTTTTATAGGATTGAGAAAGGTGTTAGATAAAGTAATATAATTAGCCTTCGATGACCAATTTTAAGTCAAGTGTTTGATTTGAATCTTTGGAGGCTACGGAGCGTATACTTGTTTGTTTGTTAAAATCTCTTGTTGAAATTTTTGCCTCGCACAATTAAAAAATACTCTTTAATCATCGAAAAAGTAGATGCAAAGGCTATCGGTATCAAAGTTTGATTATCCGTAAATTTCGGTTTGGTAGGCCATTTCTCGGAACCGAGTTTTGATGGTCCAACTTCTCCCAATCGAAGGGTTAAAAAGAATTGAATAGCTAGATAGTTTGGAATTTAAGACTTTTATCAACCTCGATCCATTAAGTTATGGAAACCGATGTAGACGGACACTCGCAGTTTAAGATGCTACACGGATCTAACACAACATGATACTAAAAAGTTTTGTATAGAAAAATCAAAGAAAGAGTTATTCTAATGTCATATAGCTTGATGGCCGGTAAGAAAGGATCTATAGCACAAATTAAGGAACCAAGGTCTCATCAACGGTCCGAGCATATGCTACGACACTATCATCCGATTAAAGAGATTATCGATCACGGTAACATATATAAGGATAAAAAAGATCCGCACCGATGACAACATAGCTGATCCATTAACTAAACCTTTGTCACAAGCTGAAACATGAGTCCTTTACTTGATGGTCGAATTAAGAGACATGGTTGTTGGCTCTAGTGCAAGTGAGAGATTGTTAGTATAGGTGCCCATGATTTAAACATGTTTAGATAAGTTTGAGTTATTGTATTATTGCATCATTTATTTTATTAATAAAAAGGAAGTCTTTCTATTTATTTTTATGGCTTATATTTATTCATTGAATAAAATTAGATAGAAGTCTATATAATATGCATTTGAATTAATGATTGATCGAAAGATGTAAGACAAACACTACTCACATAAGTGATATCATTAAATGTCCCAAGTCGTAGCATTGTCAAGAATGGACATTGACTATATGTTAGAAAATAATATAAAAAAAATATTTAATAGTTTGATTCATATTTTTTTTCACAAAATACAATATTTTCAATCATGTGCATAGTAGTTCCATCACATACCCAAAATAAATAAATAAATAAATTATAATAGCGCAATTGCTTAAATCTGTACAGTCTAAACTACAATAAAATGCTAGAAAGTGAAAATATTTCTCCATCTGAACTACAGTGCCGAAGCCTCCATAATTAATTAAATCTTTCGCCCATTTTGCTCTTTCTGTTGATATCATTGCCTGAATGTCTGGTTGGTGTTCTAAGCCATCAAGCTCCCACGCTTCAATATCAGTGACACTATCTGTGCAATCAACACCTGCCACTGCCAGATTTCGACATGCTTCTGATCTAACAGAGTTTATCTACTCAGAGACTGTTCCCAACAACAGATCCCAGAATTTGTATTGGTTTAAACAATAAAAGGCATCATTATTATAATAATCAAAATACATGGTTTCATCTTAAATAAGTCCTGTTACATTGAACCAAGACGCTCGTTGTTTTGAGATTTTTTTGGCTTGAAACAACGCATTTTTCCCAAAGACAGTAAGCAGTTTTCTGTCCATTTATCCAAATTTGTATAATTTAGTCCTTCGTTACAATTTTATTCAAACCGATCTATTAATTAAATATTTATTCCAGATAAGTCCATATTGTTTTTTATGACTGGGCTGTGCTTCCAGCCCAGTCCCATGGTCCTGGTTGTCTCCAGGCCCATATGGATGAGCCTGGTGTTAACCCAACCAAGCCTATTTTTTGTGCTTTTTTGTACCTTTTTTTCATTGATTATTATTTACTCAAAATAAAATTTTTCTTTTTTATGGTTTTATTTTTATATTTATTATTTACTCAAAATATTTTTTTCCATAAATAATGGTTACTTTTTTATATTTTTATAGATCATTAACTAAAATTAAACACTCTTATAATATAAATTAATTTTTTAAAAAATAAATATTTAATTGCAAGTTTTTTTTAATTCTTTTAATATAAATTGATTTAGCATATTCTTCTAATTTTATTTTATAAAAAATAAATAAATAATTGTATGTTTTCTTTTTTCTTTTTTGTTATTGATCAAAATAAAAAACATTCCTATGATATATTTAAAATCAATTATGATATATATATAATTAAAAAAAAATTCTAACAATTAGTGTTAGTTAAGTTTTATTTTACTCCTATTTTTTTTTAATTATTTAAAACAATAAAAAATATTATATGGATTTATTCGCCACAACATGTGGTTATTATATTAGTTTGATCTATACAAGCATTAATCTTGTGTGTACGGTTAGCCTTTTTCAAAAGCAAGAATAGAACACACGAATAGAAACTTGCAATCAGTACTAAATTTATCATTATATCCGTGATCTCTATCTTTCGTTTGGCTCAATCCTTTTAGAACGTGGAATAAATTTACTAATATGGAGGATGGTTCGTCGAATTAACACTAGAACAATATCTGTATCTGTCAGGACGTGGAAAAACATGATTATATTTCGTTATCGAACAGATATTTATAGTACTTGATCTTCTCGTGATCAGAAACTTCCATGGTCTCATCATCCTAAAATTCATTGCGTAAGAACAGATGAAAGCATGGTGGAACTCTCAGTGATATTATATTATATTAGTCTCTTATTACGTGAAGAAATAATTAATCTAGGATGAGAACAGAGATTTCCACTAGTAATACATTACATTCATGTATTTAGAATAATTAAAACAAATTCTTCGAAAAACCCATGACTTCTAAATTACTCCTAACAGTTTCTTGGTTAATATATACAGATGAACAATATTTTTGCTACCGTCAATCATGTTAAAATCTAAGAGAAATATCCATTTCACAAAACAATAAGCATTGGATTGGCTGTTAAATTTATTCACAAAACACTTAGAAACTCTCATTTTTCATAGATACTCCATATTTCGTAGCAATGCAAGATCTCGATGTTTGAACAAATAATGTTAACCTACAACTCAAATAGAGTCCCTGGTAATGGTAGCTAAATATGACACATGTAAAGATCACATTATTCTTGATCTTCAGAAATTCATTTCAACGTCATATTTGTCATTCGTTCAACATGATAGTCAAGCAGAACTTTCGTTTCACATGGAAAGATTGTAAAACTAGTCATGTACGGAGGTTTCTGATCACAAGAATATGAAGTTTTTTTTAGAGCATGAAGTCTATAGCCCTTCATTTGCTCCATGAACAATGCAGTCAAAGTCCTAGATCACAGTTTTAGAATCCCAATTTTCATCGCATAATTTTCCTTGCTTCAGAAAACGAATTGCAGTACATTTAGATTTTTTGTTCTCTGAGAAGTTTATGTGTGAAGGATATGGTAGCTATCAAGCTTGCATAAGGGCCCTGTTCAATAGATATGATCATGACTTACATGCTTGTAGAAATTAGCATCGCATCGGGAGTCTGTAGTTGAATATATTGATTCAAAGTCAATAAGATGATCACGAGAATGTAGTTCCTTTTGTGATTCTAAACTTCACCCTGTTTTTCCGCTTCGCTCTTCAAAGCCCTTGCATGACTATTAAACATCATATTTGAATTTTTCTCTTCATTAACTTGTGAGCTTTGATATTTGGAAAGAATATGTTTCTCTATATATATGCTAGTCATGCAACAGATCTAATCATAAATGCACTTGAAATCCTGATCTTTCTCAAGGATTTTTTTTTCCTTAAGGCCGTAAACCAGAGTAGAAGAGAGATCGTAGATATTTGTATGCCAGAAATCATGTCAGCATCAATAGAGGCTTTAGCAATGGCAGATGTGGATTATCATACACACAGTATGAAAATTGAAGAATGGGAGCAAGAGGAGTTGGAGTTACCTCCAGCACATTTACTAGCTGAAGAAGAAGAAAAAGAAGCTGAAAGAAATAGCAAGTACAGCTTTCCTATATGCCGATGTTGGCCGTCAAGCTGGTCGGCGAAAGATGGTGGTGGTAGTGATTATGTAATCACCAAGCCACCCCGGAATGTCATCCAAAAGTAGGCCAAGTGGGAATCTGATCATGTAAGACGATGTGACCAAATGATGCTGAGAGTCATATCTGTAGTTCCTGTCTGCCAGTTTTAGCAAATGTTGTTTGTCAGTTATGATTCCTTGCTGTTGTTTAGAGTTTAGCTTCGTATGATTTTTTGATTTGTAGATTCTGAGTCAGCTTTGTAGCAGTGTAAGATCTTGCTCAATCCCTTTTCTTTTAAGAATGAATCACTCTAGAAAATCCTTGACTACAACATCACGACTAATGATCTGGTTTTTGATTTCAATATGAAATCCAAAGAAATGCATCCAACCCTTCCTCCCAAGTAGCAGTATGTATTGAAGACTGTCAACGTCTTTGTAGAGCAGATTATTTGAGACTCGGACACAATTGGTAGGCCTGGTCAATTACAACAGTGATGCGTTAATAAATTGCTTCTCATGTCATTTGTAATTTTTGCTATTTTTCCAAGATTTTTTGCATCTGCACAAGTATCGTATGTGAATTGTGAACATGTGATACTCATTAAATCTTTTCATTTTGGTTTCGGACAGGTTGGTTCATATATATATTCGGTTGGGTCCTTCTTCCGATAAAATCCAAAACCCATATAAATCAGAAAGATAAAAAAAAAAAAAAAAAAAAAGACCTAACTAATGTCACGTGAGTGACAATTATATAAGCAACTTTGGCTTATTTGAGTGAGCGGCTGCTAAAAAAAAAAAAAACAGAGAGAGAGAAGGAGATTTTTGCGAGAGAGAGAGAGGCAAAAAAATGTGTTTTTCATCTTTACTGATTTGATTGGATGGTAATTTCAAATCCAATCAAGATAAAATTTCGTATGTTATTTTTAAGGATTAGTTTTTTAACTTGAACAGTATTGATAATTAAAAAAAAATTATTTTTTAATATTTTCTAAAAACCTAATTTTGATTTATTAGAGTGAGCTACTCACTAAAAAAAAAGTCAAATAACAACAAAAATTAGTGGCAGATCAACTTCCATCACTAAATAGCGAGTAAATAACGACGAATAACGTCTATTAGAACCAGCAATGAAATAGAGATGAATTAGTGATGGTTTATCAACGACCAAAACTAATCCATCGTTAAATTTAACGGCAAAATCTTTCTAGGAGTTTTAGAGATGGTTTGACGATGGATTTGCTAGAAACAATAATGACGAAATTACTAATCAGCAACAGGATGATGATTCATCATCTCCATTATTTTGTTTATTTGTTTATAGTTTTTTTGTTATTACAAGTAATAATACACGATTATAGATTTTTTTTTAAAAAAAAACTTCATTCATTTAGCAATGGAATTGCGAGGATCTTAACTTCTATAATTTAGCAACACCCAATCCATCACTATTTAGCGATAGACGTAAATGAAAATAGCGATAGTTTGGCGATGGATATAAGACCTTACTAACAACTATTGTAGATCAATTTAGGGATGGAAATTCAACAAATTAGCGACAGATTTTCTATAGCAAATAAGCGACGGCAAACAAAGTTCGATCGTTAAGGAAATACCGACCACCATATTAACGATGAAATCCATATTGTCTCTAATCCGTTGCTAACTATGTATAGTGATAGAATCACATTATTATCTAGTTTCTATGGTCATTCATTCAACATTGTCATGCAATACTTTAATTTCACATAGGCAGAAACTAAAGGACAACTCGATGTACTCGGAACTTTCCGATCACAAGAATTTGAAGTTTTTAAGAGCATAAAGTTGAAGTTCATGATTATTCCTTCATTTCTTGATTGATAAACTAACTAAGGTCATGCATCTCCACCAGTATCTTCTGTGAATTGTGAATGTGTGATATTCACAAAATCTTTCCTTTTTGGTTCTAGATAGTTGGTTCCATCTGAACATTAATTGTTAACAACATTCATCAGAAGTTATTCCTCTGTTCTCATTTTACATATGTTTACATAAGAAAGAAATGGAAAAATTACTGTACTTTTGGTATCCGGATGTAATTATGAAAGAAAACAAAAGCTTATGTGTCAAACTAGTAAAACTACTCGTTTTTTCACTAGAGTTTAGGAATTGGAACTTAGAAGTTATAGATTTAAATTTTGTTGGGGTGGGTTTGGGGTTTTATAGGATTGAGGAAGGTGTTACATAAACTAATATAATTAGCCTTTTGATGACCAATTTAAGTCAAATGTTTGACTTCAATCTTTGGAGGCTACGGGCATATACTTGTTTGTTTTGTTAAAATCTCTCATTGAAATTTCTGCCCTGCACAATTGAAAAATACTCTTTAATCATCGAAAAAGCAGATGCAGTGGCTATCAATAACAGAGTTTGATTTTCTGTAAACTTCAGTTTGGCAGGCCATTTCCTACAACTCAGTTTTGATGTTCTAACTTCTCCCAATTGAAGGGTTACAAAGTATTGAATATCTAGAGAGCTTGGAAGTTAAGACTTTTATCGACCTCAGTCTATTAAGTTGTGGAGACTTATATAGATGAAAGACTGTAGCATAAGACGCTATAAAGATCTAGCACGGCGAGCCTCAAAAGGTTTACAAAATATTGGATCATATGTATAAATCTGTTGGGCTTTTTTTCTTATAACCTTAGTTGTCTATTCTATAAATAAAGGCAACATCATTTGTATTTATAGCCGCCACTTACAAAACCTAATAAGAAATTCTAATACAACCGTAGAGTATGTACCATTATTGAACCTTAAAAAATCTTTGTGTTGTTTGATTGTGATTTAAACTGTCAAGTTCACAAGGATGTTCAGATTTAGGTCATCATGAGATATTTCAGACCTATTTGTCACGTTTGTTAAACATTCTAGCATTAGCTTGTCAATTATTAGCCTTTTTCTCGATAAATGCAAGAAATGTGTTTCCAAAAATCTCTCTGCCTTAAAAATCTTTTCTCTGTTCAATTTTGGTGATCTTATCAACATAGTCAGAATTTAAGCCTAGTAGGTTATGCACGGCATGCAAGCATGAAAAGCTTCTCGCTTGTCTAAATAGCATCGATCATGCATTTTTCATTTCAAGTATGAACTCAAACTAATTCATGCCTGATAATGGACTACGGAAATTTCTAGTCACGAGAAGATCGATGTTTAGTAAGCACATAATCCACAATGCTGACGAGCAGTTGATCTGCTCCATGACGTATACATTGATGAAATAAGGCCCTGTACCTTCTATCTCCTGGTAGATAGAATTCAAGTCAGGATCCCATAGTTTTTCCTATCTGTGTTGCTGCACTTGCACATCCTACCCGTGTCCCAGAAAATGTTAAATTCTCAAATTTATTTGCTGGTTCAGCAAGATATCCAGTTTAAACATTGATCTTGAATTTGTCTTGGAGATATATTACGCAACTCTTTTCCCCTGATCCCAACAATTGCAGCCCATCCAAGTGAGAGGTAAGGCCAAGGCAGAGAGGAAATATCACGGATATAGTGAGTAGTGACACATGATTGATTGTACATACAAATCTTGTGCACCTTTACTTTACCCAACCAACTAAAGAAAACAAGAAATACTTGCCATATAAATAGGTAGCCTGTCATCCTGTCATATAGGAATCAGGAGTGAAATTTTGACCAACAGTGTTAAGTAGATACAACAGTATAGAAGAAGCAATGTCTATTGAAGCTCTGGCAATGGCGGGGGTTGATTACGCAGACTGTGGCATCAACCTAGAAGTGTGGGAGCAGGATAGCTCGGAACAGCCACCCCTACATCTGGTAGGTGAACAGAATTCAAGCTTGGAAATTGATAGAAGGAGACAAGATATGTTACTTGAAGAAAAATTGTGGAAAGCAAAAATACTGGAATGGGCTAAAGCTATTGCTGCAATGCACGTTACATCAGTTCATCAGCTCAAACCAAACGACGCATTTAGCTAATTATGTTAGTCATTGAAGAATGCATCAGCCTTTAACAAGAATTCAAGCATCAAATCCAATGTGCTATAGCCACTGAGCTCCACTTTATTTTCGTAACTAGTAAAATCACAGAATGAGATTGTCCATAAATGATTATTGAATGGTGTTATTCCAGTTTCTGTTCCGTTTTCCTACTTTAGGCCTGTTGTCAATGAATTTCTGTATCCATAAATTTCATTGCATCATTAGATCCATGTATAAAAGTTAAGTAGTTTTCATTTGGACTGGGCGTAGGACATGGGTAGGACATGAAAAGAGAGGAATCGCTCAAAAAAAGTGGTATTAACTTTAATGCACATAGGCAACTTACTATTTGAACCAGAAAAGAAGCTGGCTTTTATGAAAATCACATGTTTGCATACATTCTATGCAGAAGGAGAGGATTGCATATATGTCATTGGAAAACACATTATCTTCTGGCCTACTTTTGGATGGCATTCAGGGGTGATCCAGCTCTCACCATTAGTAAAACCACCATCATCTTTTGGAGAACCGCTCAACCAGCCAAATTAAGTTACAGTAAAGCTGCACTTTCTAATTTTCTCCTTCAAAGAGTAAATGCAATGGAGACTGCTCGAAGTCCTCATGCTCCCATCTTTTCACATAAATACTGCATATATGATAATCCAACCGTGCCATTGCCAATGCTTGTATGGATGCTTCTTTCACACATTATATGAAAGATATACAATCACATAAAAAGCTATATTCTCGCGAGTAGAGATAGAATGAATATGATATAAAACAAATATTTACTTTACCCGACTTAATAAATATTTATTAAAAATATCGAATGAGTATTGAAATAGATAAAGATAAAAAAATACATACTCACTAATATAATTTCTGGATATTGGTATCCACTTTTTACCCTATTAATAGTCACTAATTTATTTAGATTTTTTTATTAACATGCAAGGATCTAATTGCATAAAATTTAAAAATTAAGTATCAAAATATTTTTTTCAAAAACTTTAAGGACAAAAAAAATTTTCTTAAAAATTATAGGGATTAGAATAAATATTTTTGACAAATTAAATTTAGCGGGTATTTAATGAATATTAAATGATCTAATTGCATAAAATTAAGTATAAAATTTAAAAACTAATATAGTTTCAAGGTATTTACCCTATTAATAGTCACTAATTTGTTTAGATTTTTTTATTAATATACAAGGATCTAATTGCATAAAATTTAAAAATTAAGTATCAAAAAAATTTTTCAAAAACTTTAAGGACCAAAAAACTTAATAAATAAATGCTCAAAATGCCAAAAAAAAAAATTAAGGATAAAAAAACTTTTCTTAAAATTATAAAGACTAATATAGTTTCGGGGTATAGGTATTTACTTTTTACCTTATTAATAGTCACTAAGTTATTTAGATTTTTTTATTAACATGTAAAGATTTAATTGCATAAAATTTAAAAATTAAGTATCAAAATATTTTTTCAAAAACTTTAAGTACCAAAAAACTTTTATATAAATGACCAAAATGCAAAAAAAAAAAAAAAAATTTAAGGATCAAAAAACTTTTTTAAAAATTACGGAGACTACAATAAATATTTATGATAAATTAAATTTAGCGGGTATTTAATGAATGTTAAATGAACCAATAAACTAATATGAGCCAGGTATGAATTGAAAAAAGATTTATATAATGATTTCTAAATGAGTAATAGATAAAATATTCTTTCGATGGATTATGTAAAAAATTGAATTAATAGATTGGATATTCATCCGCCAGCGATCTACTCGTGGGTAACGACTTTGTTTATCAACAATACCAGTCATGAAAAGTCATGCTGAGTGCATTAGCCTGGGTTGCTAGTTTTATGAAGATATGCAATGATCAAAGGCAAGATGCAAGCTTGATTGCTATAATTCTTTTCTAATTGAGATATGATCAAAACATATGTTGATTAAATCTATTATGCAAGCTTAATAGCTATAATTCCTTGCTCTTTAAACCTTGATACTCTTATGAATGAAAGGAACTGGAAGGTTTAACCATAAACCAGAGTTTGAATGTCAACGTATGAGGATGAAGACAAGTCGCAAGCTTGAGGGCTATCGTCCAATACATGTGTCGTGGAGCTGTTCTCTTAAAACCTTGATAATTCTTGTGATCAGAAACCCTCATAGTCCTATGCATAATCTATTTGGAGTAGTCTCCGCACTATAATTACGAATGAAGCATATTATGCATGATAGCAACTATGATATTAAAGCCCTTCTAAAATCCGATTAGACTTCCATAATTTTGCATCACTGTGATCGTTCAACGATTTGAATGGAATATATGCACCTCCAGATTCACAAACAACTAAAATTAGTAGGTGTATTGGTTTGTAAATTCAGTATGACATATGATGTTAAGTCTATAGTTTTAAATCATGGATGCGCTTGAAAAAAATGATTATAGTGACAATCGTGGATCATGATTTATCATAATAATAAAATAACGGTCATGGTCATTATATGACGCCGAATAATAGCAATAGAGTATCCCGAAACCATTATATATTTAAATCTATGATGTTAACTGAGGTGGCTGTTTAGTCCCAGCAAGTTTTAGTGAATAATGTTCAATACATTTTGTGGCATTGCAGACCAAGCTAGAAAGAAAGGAACTGCTTTAGTTTTTTTGTCTTCAATTAATGTATGACGTACCTAACTATACAGAGCGAAAATGCCGATATTAATGACATCACATGTGAGACATGTCCATTTTCTTCTCTTGGGATATTAGCAGTAAATGCCATGAAACCAAAACTTGAGAAGGCTCTGGTCATATGCAGATATTCCTATATTTAGCTATTATTGGAAAGTTTAAAGTTCATGAACATGTTGAACTCATGCAACATATTTAAACAATTTATCTGAAACTGTAATACATCTATATATATTTTCAGCCGTCCAAATTTCAACATAATCCAAAGCAGGAATAAATAAAGACAATAAATAAATCCAAATATGAAAACATTAAACACCATATAGAAAAATTTCACTCTTCTATTCAGACAGGATTCATAATAACTAGCTAATAAGAAACTATGGACAACTTCAAATGGAGAGCTTTGATTGGGCCATCTATTATATATATCTCTATCTCCTACCCAATCCTGCGATCATCAACAACCTTATAATGGCTTTCACCATCAATCTTATGGTACTCATGAGTTTTGTCTTCCTCTTAGCCAGTGTCTCCTCTGGTTTTGGATGACAATGCTTGGCGATTTGATCACTATCATTATCATCATCACCATGGCAACCATCTTCTAGAGGGTGACATGGAAAACTAATGTAGGTGACGGGAAAGCCACACTTATGATCCCTAACTTCTTCCACAAGTAAGTGAGGCGGAGGCAGCTCCGAGTCATCATCTTCCCATTCTTCAACATCCATACCCCATTCAAGATAATTAGTGCCTGCCATTGCTAAGGCTTCTAGTGAAGGTGACATGAATTATGCACAGCACTATTCAATACTTAACATCTATTCTCCTATTCAGATACAACAACAATGGTTTGTCTGAAAATAGCACAAAGTCTATTTATAGCAAAACCAGCTGCATGACAAGTTTGATCGATGCCAAAAATAGGAAGACCAGTACTTTTCCCTTCAAAATCACGGGTTAGCATTCAAAATGAATCAGAAGGTTCCGTTCAACTGGGAAGGAGATATATGGAGAGGGGAAGAGAGGTTTAAATATATATATATATATAAGATTTGAATCAATAAAGGGGCAATGCTCTCGTGATCATTATATATTGACTAATTTTCTTCTACCGCTCTTCATGCAATGCTCCAACGGAAGTGAATAGTGATTCTTATTCTATCCAGGCATTATTTATATATCCACTAGATAAACCTCTCTTCTCTTATCAAATTGCAGTACAGAAGACTTACTACAATAACATGCGACTGATGAGGGTCAGGTTGTGAACAGAATAAAGTTCATAGTTTTTGAATGATAAGTTTGAGATGAGTGACAACAGATCATGGAAAAGGACCTCTTTTCTTGGGAATTCAAGTGGTGATTCGGCCCATTATCCATTAGGGTTATGGTATGTATATTTGATGTATTTTGTTTCCTCGTTTTGTCCATGGATTTCGTAGGCATTGCAAATCATACTAAACATTGTGTTCCTATCTGTTTGCTTTGATTTTTCTATGTCTATGTGTGTTAATCCTAACAGCTTAAGAAATAAAGAAGCCATACAAATAGTGAAATAAAAGGCTGCGCAAAGCCACTTCATCTAAGCAAGAATCGTGCAGTCTACGAGAGACAAAAGGATATAATGCAAGGTGGACGAATTGCTGTCCAGTGAAAGCAGCTATGAATTATGATAGTTATAGGCTAAAACTTAAAATATTTTCCGAACTTGAATAGAAAAACTATTATCTTTTGAATTTAAAAAATTCTTGATTTAAACAATATATGGGTTTTAAAATTTGTCTTTTTTTGGAGTTTCATTGAGAAATTGATGAAAAAAAATCCTCTAAAGTTCTCTTTTTTCTCTATTAGTAAAACAGTTTTTTTTCTTAAAAAAAAATGGTAAGAGAAAAACATAGGAATTGAGGGGATTTTTATGGATTGTTCCAGCAATTTCCTAATGTGAGGAACAAATTCAAAATATCCTATTTTTGAGAGGCAAAATTAAGAATTTTTTAGTTCAGAAGGTTTTTTTTTTTTGGCAAAAGTATTTTACAATTTAGCCATCGCTATAGAAAGGCCCAAGTCGTTTCTTTGGAACTTGAAGAATCTCAATCTCAAACTGCAGGATTAACAAAGAACATGACTGACTCCAAAGCTAGAATTTCACGTGGTTTAGGAACTAAATAAGCAACCAATTATGTTATCTGTAATTTCATAAAGGAACTGAAGAAGACAAGACAAGGTACTAACTTGGGAATTTGAAGTTTGTGACCAAGCGAGCACCGTACAGGGAGATGAGAACATTGTTGTTGCAGAAGCTGCCAGCATTGATGAGATAAACAACCATACTCAGCTCAATGGATTGAAAATTCAATGGACAAGAACTCCGATAGAGAGTTTGTACAAAGAATCCAGGAAGATAAAGCACGAATTACAGTGGAATCCATTGGTCCCTCTATCTGATGCTAAAGCTGTTTGTGTTTGAATATTGTAAATTTTGTTCAAAGAATTGGAAGCCAGCCATCTTGACTTGTGTGCTTTCTCATGAAAAGAGGAGATGCATCATTCTTCAAAAAGATAACCCTCTTTCTAGAAAAGAGAGATAGAGGTGAAAAAAAAAATAGTAACTCAATTCCACAAAACCTTTTAATATTAGCTACATTCTCCCACAATCGAAAAAGAGTAGTTTCTTGCGAGAGAGACTATATCCATCCCCCCATGATCTAAGAAACACATGGCACACTGTTTGCCTTGTATTATCTCCTTAATCAACTTGTGGAACTGTGTTTTCCAATCTCAACCCAGAACTATGGTTTAATTTAACCTTCCAAAGGCTGAAATATTTTATATTAACAGATAGAAAACAGATATTTTCCTCTGATTTCATCTAAACTGAATTACCACGGAATTTTAAAACAATTAGAAGTGATCTATCAGCACTAATCTAATTACATTTAACTTCGTCCAAAATTTCATGTAAGACCATTTCTCAACTTAAAGCCCTTACCTTCAACCTAAAACTTGAGTTGAACCTAAGAATAATACAAGCATACAGCGCAAATTAACAAAAGTAACCAACGTAATCTAAAACCAAAACAATCAATTTAAGTGAATTAGAGTAAGAATTCACCAGTGGAAAATGTAACTGAATTAATTAAACAACTGCTAATCACAAACCAAAATAGCAAAAAAGATGAAACTTTTACTGGAAATGAGAAGTTGTACAGAACTTATTCCTAGAAGTAACAAAATCATAGCTACTGAAAAAGAATACAGTATGTTCTCAACTACAAGACTGACAATCTGCTTATTATTGCAAAGAATACGAATACAGATATACAGACACAACGACCAACATCAAGAAAGAGAGAAAATATACCTGATCAATCACTGCCTGAAACCACAAAACTCCTCAAATCCACTAAAAGGAGAACCCATTACATCCTGCAAGCTATACCCCTCCATGGAACCAAACCCATCAAGCAATCCCTCAAAAAACTCATTATCATTACAACCCCCACTCAAATCATCTACCTTTACAGCCAATTCTTCTTCTTCATCCTCCTCCATAGCCGCCGCGCCGCCAACTGCCACCTCCTTGGCCTTACTCTCTTCCTCTTCACCAACAACAGCAGGCATATGTCCTTCAAACAAAGCCATATGACCAAACAACTTATCCTTCCTCGAAAAACTAGTCCCACAAGAACACTTCCACCTCGACTCCCCACAATGCTTCAGATGACTCTTCAGATCCGTAACAACCGAAAAACTCTTCTTATTACACCGATTACAAGAATACATCTTCGGACAATGACTCCTCTTAAAATGATTTCTAACACAAATCACTGACTTCAATGGCCTAAACTTACTATGTTTCTTATTCCTATTACAACCTTCAAAAGGGCATGAAAACTTTGTCTTCCCCGCCAAGGAAGCTGATGCTGTCTCATTACCCTTATAAGGCTTGGCTAGTGCCTCAAGGGTTTTGAACTGATTCCCATGCGCACGCATATGCATACGCAAATTCGCATCTCTTTTAAAACCTTTTCCGCAAATCTCACAAAAATGAACATGTTCGGCTAGCAATTCTACCGCATCAAGCTCTACTACTTCACTGTCCTCATCGCTTTCTTCTTTATTTTCTACTTTCAAAACCTGAGCCTTTCCTATTGCAGTAATTTCCACCGGCGACTGAGGCATAACGGGTTGTGAGCTACTGCTGCTACAAGAGAGAAGAGCAGCAGCGTTGACGATGATTTGATGTATAGCTGAGGAGATCTCAGAAGAAACCATGTTCATCTGATCTTTGCTTATTAAATTGTTGCTGTTGACTGATTCTGATAAGAATTGCTGTAGGGAATCCATTCTAGTACGGACAGTTGAGAGGTTCAGCAGGGGTACTTGAGGGTCTGTATCACTTACTGGGATGAAATATCCCGTCGGTTTCCGGGTAGATTCGCCGGGATTTGACATGATTTGAGAGAGAGAGAGAGAGAGCGATGCGGTGTTCTGTTTTGGCTTTTTCTGGGACGGTGAACTTGGACTAGATTTGATAAACTGTTCTCCTTTCTGCTTTTATTTTGGGTACCTAACTTACCCCTCCTAATTACATCTAGTTTATAAATACACCCCCAAAACTAATTTTCTCATCAATCAACCCTTTTATATGTCAAATTTACCTAGTTTTGGAGAAAAATTACCTACCAATTTTTCTCTCCAAAAATCATACTTTTTTTTCCTATATAGTAATGATATTTTTTTTAGCAAGCTTACTCGTCAACCAATACTAAATTCTTTTTCAAACAATCTTAAATATATATCTTTTATATCAATCTAATACATTTAGAAAAAATTAATAAATTCTCTTAAATGATTGTCTCAAATTTTGAATCCAAAAAACGAAGAGAGAAATAAAATTTTCTTAACAACCAAAATCAAACTCTTCAAAAAAAAATTATAACATAAAATCAAAATATTGATATGTATTAATGATGAAAAAACTCATCAAAGCATATAAATTTATGTTTATCATTTTATTTTTTATAGAAAATAACCTTTTTTTAGTTTGTTTCTAAAACTTAAAAAACTATGCTTTCAATTTTAGTAGCTAATTTCCATAAAAAGACTGCTAGGTTAACCTTGTTGAAAGGATGATTTGGGTAAAGTTGAAATAAAGTGATCGACAGCAACATTAGTTTTGGGAGTTAATTGATAAATTAGGTAGAGTTTCGGGCGCAAATTGAGATTAACCCTTTTTCCTTTTTTTTTTTTTTCTTTTTCTGAATTGACTTGGAGACTCAAGGAAGGAGCCTCTCTCTCACGCCCTGGGGTCCACACGCGGCGTGCATGGACTGGATCGTGACCGCTGAATAAGTTGTCTGTTTCCAAATTCTGCCGCAGTCCACCAATGCACAATGCGTGGGGACTTTTTTGTCCTTTTAGGGTCACGGTGGGCCACGTGCGTGATAATAGAGGAACAGAATAACTACAATAATATATAGATTCATCGTGATCTTTTGGTTGTACCAAGTTACTTACGCTGAATTTTTTAAAAATGCACTTTGATCTTGACGTTTTTCAAAAGTTTTATTTTGATTTTTAAGTTTATTTATGTCGTGATTTAGTTCTTAAATTCAAAAGAGAAGAGAGAAAACAACTATCGGTTCTAATTTCAACCTTTTTTTTAGTTGATTTTTTATTTATATTATTTATTTTTAAGAAAAAAAATGTATTCATAGTAGTTTTGAGTCGTAAAATTATTGAAATAGACAGATCAAATCATAAAAGAAAAAAAAATTGTTTTCATGTGTGTGTATGTGTGTTACCCACAATGTGATTTGTAATGCTTTTTATTTTTTTTCTTTTTGACCGTTTGCTTTTTTTAATCAAAACTGTTTTAAAAAATTTATTATTGAATCGAGTGTAAAAATTATAGAAAATCATCATTATTTTTTTAGTATTTCTCACAAACTAATGGTGATGAAATATATATGATATGTTTTCAAAATTTAGAATGAGCATACACACACAAAATAAATATTACTTTTATTGTTTAAAATTGATTTTATTTTTTTTCTTATGGAAATTATCACAAAATGATTATTTTTTATTTTTTATATAATTTTATATTTTAATAAATATGATTTATTTTTCTCTATGTATGAATTTTTGAATAAAAATTTAAATATAATTATTTTATCTTTTTTAATAAACATATATATCATATTATATTACTCTTATTGTTTAAAATTAATTTTTTTATTTTTTTCTTATGAAAATTATCATCAAATTAATTTTATATTTTTTTATATTATTTTTTTATAAATATAATTTATTTTTCTCTATGTATGAAATTTTGAATAAAATTTTAAAATATTATTATTTGATATTTTTTATATATTGATATAATTCATATGATGGATTCTTATAATTTTTAAAATGAGAGCGTTTAAAAGCTAAAAGTATATTTTATATAATTTCTCTCAAACCTTTTTAAAAAATTAATTAAATTATAGAATTCACGCGTTTTGGTTGCATCTTCTTTATATGATTAAAATTTATTGAAATAAATTTTATATTTTTTTATTTTAGTCTATTAACTTTAATATATTTCTTACAATTTATTTATTTATTTAAATATTTATTTATTTATTTTGCATACTATGAACCCATTAAGTATGATCAATGATGCATATATATAAGATAATTAATTTTGTTAGAAATTAACTATACATCTACACATATAAATGATAAACCAACCATTTGTTATTAATTTTTTAAAAAATATTTTAAAATTAATTTATTTAAAATAAAATAATTGAAATAATATTTTAGGAGAACCATCAAATGATTCAAATATAGCTTTTTATACTATTATTATTGATTATTTTGTGAATAAATATATATAAATCAAATGTATATTTAAAAAAAAAAACTCTCGTAGTTAAATAAGAATAAAAAATATTCATTTGTTAATTTTTATACAAGTTTTTTTTATATTAATTGCAGCTTTATTTTTTATATGCAATCTTATAAAAAAAAAATTAAGGCATTTTTTTTGAAATTTGGATTAAATATTCTATTTAGATTATTACAAGTTCTTATTTAAAAATCAATACATAAAAAATAATAAATCATTTTTTTTACTACAAAATTTATGAAGAGCGCAAGGAAGAATAAATTATAAAAATGATGTTTTTTTTATTTTTTTACCTTTAATTCAATATATTTTGGTAGATTTTCAACATAATACTAACTATCAAATTAAAATTATTTTTTCAAGTGATTTTACATGTTCTTTTCGATCCGCAATGTAACTCGGGCTTTCATATATATATATATATATAAAAACTTTACAATTTGTTTCCATTATTATAGATTTATAATTTATATTAACTTTTACGGAAATTGCTAACATAAGATTATGTTTAAACTATAAATAGAAATCATAGTTGATTATTTATCATTGGTTTTTTTTATAAAAAAAAAAATTTATTACTTCTTTTAACCAATACTAGTGGCCTTTTCTCACTAACTCGATTTAAGGTGAATATAATAATTATGATTTTCTTTCATTATTATTATTATTTTAATCATATCCACTTTTGTTGGGGGGGGGGGGAGAGAACGAAGGAAGGAAGGAAAAGGTCATTAAATTTGAAAAACAGATTAAAATTGAATTAAAAAAAAAAGGATAAATTTGTAAATAATTTTAGAAGTGGTAAGGGTGACCTCCTCTAATTTTGAATATTTGTTGGAATATTTTATGGGGATAGTGGACCTCAATTTCAATTTATTTAGCTTATTATTTTGAGATAAGAGGACGACATTTTGTTGGATTTACATTAGCATTGACTAAAGACAATAATTAATGCAATTAATTAAAAAAAAAAAAAGAGGAACCCGTAGCCAGCTAGAAAAATGCAGTGATGGTGGACATGATGGTTCAATCAACGCAGTCAATATGAATAAAATATGATTTGATGGATGACTTAATTGGATGCAATTATGTTCCTACTGCTTCATCAAAAACTCACATGGTCAATTCTTTCATTTAGAACTGTAAACCCTTAGAACCTCCCCCGGTTCATTCTTTAATTTACAGGAAACTTCTAAGAATCTCTCCTTTTCTCAGTTTTATATTCTGAACGATGACCTCTTTTATTTTCTTTTTGCTAGCTACTATGATTGTCCCACTTCTGCAAATGTAGAATGATTCTCCGTCGTAATTGGTATTGATTAATGGGTAGAAATGTCTTTCAAAACTTCGCAGGTGCCATTTAAAGATCCGTAATGAATTTTAGTTTTGTGTTCAAGTTTATTTCATTTAGTTAAAATGAATGGACTAAAAAGAAATCCTTGCAAAGCCAAATTCTAGTTGTCCTTAGAAATGGACCGAGTTGTCATAGCAATTTCTGCAGCTAAAACTAGGGATGACAATGGGGGCGGAGAAGAGATGGCCATCCCGATTTTGTGTCTCGTTGGAAACATATTTTATATATCATCTTCATCTCAAACAGAGATAAAAAGAAAACAAAACTCTATCAGATTGTCATTTTTAAAAACAAAACATCCAAGCATATTTTGCATATCATCTTTATCTCAGAAGAGATGGGACAGGTCTATTGGGATGGGTTAGATTGCCATCCGCAGCCAAAACCACAAGTCTTTCCGTATAATAGAGAGCCAAAGCCTCAAAAATGACATGTTGCGGTTTTGCACAAACCGTTAATGCATGAAGCCATCTGTTTCCTGTCATTTTCTTTCCTTTTCTGTGTCATCCTCGTTATTATGAACTTCGTCAAATTAGCATGCGCATTTCTAAGGGACAGCACCCTGCCACCAACCTGGGTTTTGTCTTTGCATGTGGTCCAAGGACACGTGCGTAAAATATTATAATTATTGTCAATATGTGCAACGGAAACACATCTTAGACAAACTCTCAATTTTAATTAATGCTTTCATAGATTTCATTCAACCTGAGGTTCTGATTTTCTTAGAATTACAATTAAAATTAAATTATAATTTCTTTTTTACGAACCCTTTTTAGACAACAATACTAATACGGTTGATGCTAGTTCAATAAATTTGTAAAATAAGATATATTATGACGTGGCTTTTAGATTTATCAATTTTATCAATTTGGTCTTGAGCATTTCAATTTTTGGAAAAAATTATTCACATCAGCTTCAATTTAGTGCATAACGCATGAAAAGTAGGGTTAACATGCTAAAATAAATTGAAAAATGCATGAAATTGAAAATATAGAAAATATTTAAGACCAAATTGATAAGATTTGTAATTGAAGCTATAAAAAAGTTAAATCTGTTGAATCATGAATCAGTGTTTCTAATTGTGAAGCTATAAGAAATTCAATCCCATGTCGTTAATCAGTTTCTAATTCATTTCACCTGTTTCTGATTCATATGATCATGAACCTGACTTCAGTGTGCTAGTCTATTGTAATATTTTCTGCCTAACAAATTCTCTTGGCTATTAGCGCTGTCATTAGTAATTAATCAAAGGGATCTCTGCTGGAAAATGAAGGATCCATCGGAAAATGTTAAAAAAATTTGGGTTGATCAAGGATCGATCGGAAAATGTTAAAATTTTTTGGATTAATAGCCTTATATGTCTTTATATAATGGCTCAAGTTTTTAATCCCTTTTTTATATTTTAAAACGATCATAATATATTCTTGTTATTTTAGCTAGTTTTTAATCGATTATTTTGATCAATTTATTTTTTGATAAAACCATTTGAAATTGAACATATGACTTACACATGACCTGTCTTTTGATGAAGATGTACATCATATGCAAATTAGGTTTTTTTTTCCTTGAAAAATAAATCTCACATGCGTGTGATATAAAAACCCCAATTAAAACACACACACACTCTCTCGTGTTGTTAGAATTACTAATTATGAAGCAAAAAACCTAAACCTAAAAAATCAATTTTCTCTCTACACAAAAAACAAATTTGGCTAGAAGTATATATTAGAAACTAACTAAAACAACCAAGATATAATAGAGTTATTATATAATATAAAAACATATTGGAAACTTAAGCCATTATGTAAGAACATCTTAGGCTATTAACTCAATTTTGTTTTTTAAAAATGGCTCGACTTGTTCTTATATAATAAGATTATTGTCCAATATGTCTTTATATTCTTAATTTAAGCCAGTTATATTCCTATAAAATAAGTGAGATTTCATCCTTTTGGTACCATTTTTCACTCAATCCATTAAAATTAATAACGTGATATACACTTGATTAATTTTATATCGAAAATGACCTTGGAGTAAAAGGAAAATTAGTCCAAGTTGTCCTTTTATTTTAGGTCTAATCTCCAATCTATTGTTAAAATTTTAATTACACTAGATGAGAAAGTGAGTAAATTATAAATTAGTTCTTTTAGTTTTGCAAAATGAATTAAATAATCTTTTTATTTTCAAAAATTAATTAATCAGTCCCTATTTTTTAAAATTTATTTGTAACTTAATCATTTTTTTTTCTTTTCAGAGTAAATAAATATATATATATAAGAAATATAAAATTAACTGTGTCCAAAATTGGTCAAGGGACTAATTAATTAGTTTTTGAAACAAGAAAGACTATTTAATTCTTTTGGAAAAACTAGAGAGACTAATTTATAATTTACTCATTATAAACTTAAACCTAATCTAATTATTAAAAAAAATATAACCATGAAAGAAAATGATTTTTAATACCACATGACAATTTGCTTTCTTTTAATAAATTAGTTACTCAAATGAGGGTGTTTTTGTTGGAGAAAGCTATAATTTGAGTTGCCTATTCTTTTATTTTTATTATGTTTACGTGTTTAACTTTTATTCTATCTATTTGAGTTTCTTCCTAACTAGAACTTTAAAAATATTGATGTGATTGGGATCAATTGACACAAAGCAAAATGTAGGTCTCATTCATTTTTATTGAAAAAATAAAATAAAAGAAAATAGGTGCCAAAAATTAAAAAGAAAAAAGAAAAACAAATCAAAATAGTAAAAAATTCAAAACTAAAAACTTGAATTCGACTCATTTTCTTTCAAAATTTTTTATTGTTTTGATTCGTTTATTTTCAATTTTTTTTAACAGTTTTTTTTTTCCTCCAATTTTTGATCTGACACTCACTTCTTTTATAATTTTTTTATTCGTTTGCTTTGTTTTTTTTCAATAAATATGGATACGACTTACATTTTGTCATATGTCAGTTAGAAACTACCACGAATCATGAGTTGATCTTGGCATGCAAGCATTTTCAAATTTAGTTGTCGGAGAGAACTCAAATAATAATAAAAAAATTAGAGATTGGGCATTCAAATAGATAGAATAAAAAATTAGGCACTCAAATTATATTTTTTTTCGTTTTTGTTAGTTTGCATAGAATCATCTACTAGAATGGTATATAGGATAATGATATAAAATATAAGGACAAATTGAAAGTAATTAGACTTTTAAGAACATATATAGTGGAGGCTTGGCCTAAACTACAAGGATAAATTTGACTAATTTTCTTTTTACATTTTGATTATTTTTAGTATAATATTAAATCATGCGCATATACGTGACTAAGAAAAATATTATTAGAATGACAAATTGAAGATTCACTTATTTTATATACACACGTATCAATTAAGAATATGACTATAAGGACACATTAGACAGTTACCTCAATATATAAGGATATACTGGGCCATTTCCCTAAATTTTTTTAAGAAATGAAGACAGTACTATATATTTTGGACAAACTCAACTAAATACTATACTATACTTTGTAGGCTGACTAGAATGATATCCTACGATGCATATCTACTACATTTGTAATGACTTGATCTTCCAGTTTCAATTCCAAAAATAAATTCGTGCTCATGTAAAAATACAGTTCTTGTTTGCAAGATTTTTGTTTTGTTCATTAATGGCATATTGTTGTTTTCCTGTATTTGTTTATTCGATACTATACACATTAGAGACCGCATGAAATTAAGCTGCAGAAAAAAGGCCATAACTTTATCGTTGACAGATTTATATACTCGTTTACGAAATCTAGCAGTCTCTTTTGCCAGATTGGATACAGCTTGTTTTTGACATAGTACTAGCTACGTCTGTTTCTGTTTTGTACTGTTTCTCTTTTGCAGGTTCAGAATCCTTCAGATACCAGATACGTACCTTTTTGTCCAGAATCCATGGACTTACTGTCAAGGTATTTCTTAGTTGCCTTTACTTTCTAAGTGGCACAAGCACTTCCATTTAACTTCGACTAGATAAAATCAATGCAAATCAACCAAATCAGAATAACTGAGTAGGAACACAGCACAGACAAAAAGGTTGTCTCCTTCTTCAGATAATTACTATGGACTTGTACAAAGCGTACTTGTCAGAGCATAGAATTGATCAGGATTTTGTATTTTCCAACCATGTTATTGCAGTTATATTGTAACATCAGTGAATATCCGCTCAACGAAAATGCGAAGATATCGATGGAACAGGCTTTTTGCATTGAGGAAGCCGAGTGAGGGTTGGGATTAAGCAAATCTATATACCAGCCTCAACCCCTATCGAGGTTCAATTATTTTCCAAGATTAATGGGTGATATTTCAATTTGCTCTCCTGGGTGTTCACCTAATCCTGCAAGGATTACTGACCTATCAATAATAGAAGAAGGAAAGGATCGTATGAGTACTCCTTCACAAGCGTCAACAGTGGACTTCACTGCTTCTCCGATCAATGCCCATAAGGTAAGGAATGCTTCTGTGGCCAACGTTATTTCCTTCACAAAACATATGCTGGCATTTCCATCTTTTGTGACGAATTGCCTTCTTTTCAATGCTTAGGTAATTGCAGAGCTAGTGGGGACCTATGTAATTATATTCATAGGTTGTGGTTCTGTGATTCAGGAGGGAAGGCAACAGATTAACAGCATGAGTGTAGCCCTAGCTTGGGGTTTGGGAGTAATGGTGATGATATATTCATTTGGTCATGTCTCGGGAGCTCATTTCAATCCTGCTGTTACTATTGCCTTCGCTGCATCATTCAAGTTTCCATGGAAACAGGTCAGGAACGCTGACAAATGACACAGGCATGCCATTATATTTTTCACGTCAAAGTTATTATGAAATTGCTAGCCTCAACTGACCATGATCTAAACTTTTGTTACTGTACAATTACAGTTTCTTATAAGATGAGAAGGGTATGTGCGATGAACTTTTTGCGTTGCCGTTCCTGCAGGTGCCAGGATATGTTGCGTCACAGTTGGCGGGCTCAACATTTGCCATCCTTACTCTAGATGCGATGTTCGACGGTAAAAACATCAACATAAACACCACCCTCACCCAGAATCAAAATCCTACAACTAAACCTGAAGCCTTTTTATGGGAGTTCATCATCTCATTTATCCTTATGCTCACCGTTTGTTGTGTCGCCATTGATAGTAGAGCGGTAGGCTGAGACCTGAGACACTTCATTAAATTGCAATCTGATAATCCTATAATTTTGGTAGAAATCTCAAAATTGCGATTTTTTTACATTCAACTATTCCTTAGGGAAAAAAAATCCAAATCTAGTAGGATTAAGCATGCCTTTTGTTCTTTAATCTCACTGAATTCATTGGTGTACCTATGCAGGTCAATGAGCTATCTGGAGTTACGGTAGGAGGCACATTTCTTTGTAATGTGCTCATTGCAGGGTAAAATGGGATTCAGATTTGTTTATAAACATTGGCTCATCAATATTGAAAAAATTCTCCTGGCTTATTACTCTATCTTACTTATTGTGTGGATCCAGGGACATGACAGGAGCTTCAATGAATCCTGCGAGAAGTATAGGCCCTGCTATTGTTTCCAATGACTTCAAATGTCTTTGGATCTATATTTTTGCACCAGTTCTTGGAATGATAAGTGCTACCACGATGTACGGTTTCATCTGGCATCCCACTCCCACGTCTGAAAATCTTGATAAGGAGAATACAAATGCCGTATGAGTATTCTTTTGCGAAATTGGTTTTGCCAGACATAGCACATGGTGACCAATTTTTGTATTTTGAGAAATAACAGTAAATAATTTCTGAGAAATAAACGTTATTGTCTTATTGACTACCCTTGCAAACCTGTTCTAATTCGAAGTGGGTTTTAGGAATATCTTTGCAGTTGCATTTTTTTTTGTCCTCCAATATTATTTTCACAAAAATGACCAACCAAAGAGTGTTGCTCTTCTCCGCCCAGTATTTAAGTCACCTTGAGCCTGACCCAAACTTGGGGTACAGTTGGGAAGCCGAAGGCCTAGGTTCCCAGCCGAGAATTGACCATCCACGAGTCGTTGAGACCAGCAGATAGGAATTGTATCGTGGCTGGTTAACCAAGGATCTTGGAACAATCTCGTCCCCAGCTGCTACGTGACAATATTTTGTAGCTCGTATTATTTTACTTGCATTTCTTGTATCAACTCCTTCGTCTCTTCGTACGGCCTTCAAACCTCTTCATTATAAATATCATCGGTATAATGCGATGATATAGAAAACAAGCTTGTGCCACCTAGTAAAAAGCAATGGGGGCGAGGCGGGGCGAGGATCACCATCCCTCTCCTCGCCCCATCCCTTAAAAAACCCTATTCTCATCCCGTGTTATGTTGAGAACAAAATTTTGCTCTTCATTCTCATCCCAAACGGGACGGACACCCCATCAGATTATTTTTTTAAAAATAAAAAGACAGTGCGGGGATGATGATGTAAAAAAAAAAAAAAACCTTATTCTTGTTTCATGTCTCGTTCGAAGTAAAATTTCACACCTCATCCTCGTCCCAAACGAGGCGGGACGGATTGGATTGCCTGACTAAGATAGATAATGCAATTACTGTGTACCTATATCATATAGCCTTTTCTTCTCCCATACAACAGGATTCCATGCGTCTGCTGCTTCTCAATAGATTTTCGTATAAGTTCGTCGACATGCTTCTAAATAATTAAAATAATCATAATTGTCTTGACTAGCTGAATTGAGGATTAGGCCGGGCCTTTTGACTTCAGGGCCAATATCTTGCCATGGCCTTGCAACTTAGAGAGCAAGGCTATTTTGGTGGACCTGGAATTGGGTAGGGAATTGCGAACACTAGGGTTCAAGCTAGGATCTCTAGTCACCTCGGCCTGTTCTAGTCATCGATCAACCTACCTAGCTAAGTCGCTACATTGACTTAGATACCCAGTTCACCACTCTCGACCCATGGTCATCAATAAATCCTAGGTTCGGACCTTCCCTTCTTTGCCTCTGGGTCACCTAATCCAGTCTAATCCTTGGCTTCACCATCTTCATCCCAGTTTGAGAGTCCACTGGCTCGAATTAATACTCAAGTCCATCGAAAATAAGCTTAATTATAATCAATTGTCACATATTAGAACCAAATATGTTCATATTAATTATTATTATTATTATATTGTTTCCAAAATTTCTTTTTTGCTAAAAAACAATATTGTAAAAACGATATTGTTTAAGTATTTTAACGATCAAATTTATTAGTTGTAAAAATTTTTGGAAGAAGGATAATATTTATATAAAAAATAATAGTTTAGAGTCCCAATAACTTAAATTGATAGTAAAAATTTTAAATTATCATAACCACAATAGTTTGAGGGTACTTTTTGCTATTAAACCAAGTAAAATTATGAAAGGTTTAGGAAAAATTGAATTGATTGTCAACTTATGAAATAGTTCTAATTATATCCCTAAACTAAAATACCCTTCAATTGGATTCTAACGTATTTTTTTGGTTATTTTACACACTAGCTTAAATGAAGCCATTTTGAAGAGAATTTGACATTTTCTGTTAAAAAATTGTGCTCATTTTAAAAGTAAGGACACAATTGAAAAATATCTCATAAATAAGAGATGAGATTGATAAAACTAATTGGCTAGGGATTAAAACGAGGTTTCTCCTTAAATTTCTTACTTGTTCCGAGAAGCTTTATATGTGTGATCCTCGTAACTAGGCATTTATTTATGAGTTAATGGTTATAAAGGATTCCCTATTCTTTTTTCTTTTTCTTTTTTGTCTTTATTATGTCTCAGTACTTTTGCTTGTCTTAAGTTCATCTACTTTATTTTTTTTATCTAAATCTTATTTTATTTTCGAATTTAAATAAATAAGATTTGGAAAATAAAAAAATATGGAAATAAATGAAGATATGTCTGGTTATTTTAGTTAAAAATAAAAAAATAAAAAATTTGAAAACAAAAAATATTTTTTTATCCAAAATATCTTTTAAGGATTTAAAATAAAATATTTATAGTATTTTTTTATATGCAAAAGGAGTTTAGTTAAATATTTAAATATTTAAATGATATTTATAATTTTATAATATCTTAAAAGAATCTAGTACAATCTACTTATTTTGATTTTACAAATTTATTAATTTGACTCAAAGTTGAAAATGTAAATTTTGTTATAAATTTTAGTCAAATTAAGAAATTTGTTACTGTTGGGTCCAACATGAACAAAAATTTATGTAATTATTTTTCAGTCAAATTAAGTAATTTGTAAAATTAAAATAAGTAAATTATAATAGACTTGTTTAAAATATTAAAAATATAAATATTATTCAAAATTTTAAAATTTAACAAAAAATTTCTTCACGTTTTACAAAAAATACTATAAATATTTCATTTGATACTCAAAATTGATTGCTATTATAGAGACATATTTTTTAAAAAATATTATAAATATTTTAATTTATACTCAAAATTTACTTATTATTATAAAGATAAATTTAAACCCATAAAAGATATTTTGGATAAAAATATTTTTATCTTCACAATTTTTTTATTTTTTCAAAATTTATGTATTTAAATTCAATAAAAAAAATTAAGATGGAATAATAAAGTAGAAGAATGAGATTAAAATAAAAAATAAATTAAAATCAAACGTTCAAAAAATTAACCAAGACAAGAACAAGACAAAAACTAAACCTTAATGAATGATTTTTTTTTTAAAAAAAAAGTAGAGATATACAATACATCAAAATAGAAGGACCTGATTATAAATTGGTATAGTAACATCTCATCCCTAGATTTTGCATCACTTTGCTAATTCCTAAAAAGAAAACTAACAAACCATAAAACCCTAGTAGCTTCACAAACCCTCTCTCCATCCTCACAAAAAGCTCTCCGTCCTCACAGGGAAAAAAAAAAAAAAAATGGTTCGCAGCATAAAAAATCCAAAGAAAGCAAAGAGAAAGAACAAGGTTTTCATCGATTTTTGACAATCAATTCATTCATTCATTGAATTGGGTTTCCTTTTATTTTTGTCAAAATTAATACATATATTTTTTCTGTTTTGCTAATATGATTAACTTCGATTGTTGCCAGAAACGAGATGGGTCATCTTCTTCATCAATACCAACCAAGCCTACAAAGGTTTGGCAGCCAGGTGTTGACAACCTTGAAGAAGGTGAAGAACTTGAGTGTGACCCCACCGCTTACAATTCCCTTCATGCCTTTCACATTGGTTGGTCCTGCTTAAGGTGAATACAGTTCTTTTGTAGTTGTTGAAAATAAGCTTAATTATAATCAATTGTTACAATGTTTTAGTTATTTAAGTCTGAAAATAAAAGACTTGAAGGGTAATTGATTCTGGGCTATGAAAGATAAAGGTAGAAAAGTTTTTGTGTGAGATTATTTAATAATTTTATGTTGATTCTTATGAGTTGAGTAATTTCTTTTGCAGTTTTGATGTAGTACGCGATTCACTTGGTTTGCTTCGGACTGATTTTCCACACACTGCGTATTTTGTTGCTGGAACTCAGGTGGTAAATCCATTTTTTTGTAGTGTTATTCGTAGTCATTGAAAAAACATGATTATTATTATTAAGCTGAAGATTGTATTTTTCTTCTGTTTGTCCTGAGATTGTGTTACTCTTGTAAAATTGTGAACTTTTGCTTAGACACAGGTACTAGCAACAATTTAAATGAGAGACAAACTTTTAACTTTACGTACTCTAGTAATTGAATGGAAGGAGCAAACTTTGGAAGATTCATTTGGTGAATTATGTTTTTGAGAGGGATAAAAAGAGTCCTTGGAAAAAATTGGTGCATGTTTTTCAGACCTTTTTTTATTCTTTTCTTATATTTATGTGTTTAGTGTTAATATCATTTCTGCAGGCAGATAAACCTGATTGGAACTCAATTGAAATATTTAAAGTATCTAATATTTCTGGTAAAAGACGCGAATTGGTGCCCATGAAAACTACAGCCGGTGAGTCTGACATGGATGCTGATAATAGTGACAGTGATAGTGATGAAGATAGCGAAGATGAAGAAGAGGGAGGATCGGCAGCACCAGTTTTGCAGGTAATTAACCTCTTGCATCTTTGTTTTCATTGTTTCAAATCTCTCTCTCTCTCTCTCTCTCTCTCTCTCTGTTTTTTCCTTCCTTTTTAGGATGTATTTTCATTTTTGGAATTTTCTTTCACAGTTGCGCAAGGTTGCTCATAGTGGAGGTGTTAATCGTATTCGTGCAATGACACAAAATCCCCATATTTGTGCTTCTTGGTCAGATGCTGGTTACGTGCAGGTCAGACTTCTATGCTTACTACTTAAAGAAGTTCTTCAAGATTCTCAAAATCTTTCTTGTTTCTATATCCCCATCTCACAGTGTTGTGTGATTCTCAATTTTGAACTTCACACGTCATAGAATGGTGATAGTGGAATTGTGAACTTATCAGATTAGTGAGAGAATTTAAATTCTGGGCTTCTGACTCCTCTTTCATATGTTTTAAACCACAACCTTATGTGCAGATATGGGACTTCAGCACTCATCTGAATGCTTTGGGAGAGTCAGAAACAGAAGTTCTCCGGGGAGCTTCATCAGTTTTTAATCAGGCTCCTTTATTTAACTTCAAAGGGCATAAAGATGAAGGCTATGCTATAGATTGGAGTGCTCGTGTCGCTGGAAGGCTGGTAACGGGTACTGTGTACAATTACTTTCTTCTGTTCAGTAGCTTCCCACTCAAGGATCTTTAGTGCCCAGCTGCATATTATGTAAAGTGTTCCAATGTTCTGAAAATCTTTTAAATCTATGAAGGTGATTGCAAGAGCTGTATTCACTTATGGGAGCCCACTTCTGGTGCAACATGGAATGTTGATGCTACTCCATTTACTGGACATACTGCAAGCGTAGAAGATCTACAAGTATGTAATTTGCTTCTAAATCCAATAAAACCTGCACTTTTGAACTTTTCCATCTTGTAAATATTCTGGTTCCAACTTCTGTATATCCAGTGGAGTCCAACAGAAGATCATGTGTTTGCTTCTTGTTCTGTGGATGGGCATATTGCAATATGGGATGCACGTCTGGGGAAGTCACCAGCTATTTCTTTCAAGGCACATAATGCAGATGTGAACGTGCTCTCATGGAACAGGTGTTTGAATCATTAGAATATCTTACTCATCCTCCATAGCAGCACCCTTCTTATTTTCTTTTATATTACTGATCTATGACTTCATTCATTGTGATAGGCTGGCCAGTGTCATGTTGGCATCTGGAAGTGATGATGGAACGTTTTCTATTCGTGATCTTAGATTGTTATCTCCAAAATCGGTATGTTGTGTCTAATCTATGGTATTACAACATTTTTCTCAAAAGAATTTGAGTTCTCATGTCACATTTTCAGACCATGAAATAATCATACATTTTTCTCCAAAGAATTTGAGTTCTCTTGGCACATTTTCAGACCATGAAATAATCATGTTCAGCTAAGATGTTCTCAATTTGCATTAGTATCTCAAGTGTTCCAGATCCGATATCTTTGGTCGAACTCCAGTATTAGGGACTTTTTCTCCAAGTGTTAGTGTTTGTTCTCTTGTATGCCATTTGCTATCAGCTTCTAATGGTGTTAGTGTTTTGTACTTTCACATGCCATTTGCTATCAGATTTCTCTACTTGCAATCTTATCATCATATGTTTTATGTTGGCAGGAAGAGGATAAATCTTTAGTGGCACATTTTGAATACCATAAACAACCTATCACATCCATTGAGTGGAGTCCGCATGAAGCCTCCACATTGGCAGTTTCATCATCTGACAATCAATTAACGTAAGTAATACTCCATGCATACAAAGAGCAATAGATGGATGCCAGTACATAGGATGACCAATCCTATCATCAATGCTTTTTGGCTCTTTTATCCGGACACTGATTCTTTTATTTCCTTGAAATTACTAGAATATGGGACCTTTCTCTGGAAAAGGACGAGGAAGAGGAAGCAGAGTTCAAAGCCAAAACACAAGAGCAAGTAAATGCCCCTACAGATTTGCCGCCTCAACTTCTGTTTGTTCATCAGGTGTGTTCTGTGAATCTCCCCTCATGTTAGGACATTACTCCAAAATGCTCCCACTTCCCTTGACTTGCTTTTATGCCATGTGCAGGGACAAAAAGACTTGAAAGAACTTCACTGGCATGCTCAGATTCCAGGAACGATTGTGTCTACTGCTGTAGATGGTTTTAACATCTTGATGCCTTCTAACATACAGAGCACTCTTCCCTCTGAAGGTGCTTGAAAGTTAAAATTTGTCCAAAGAATTCTCTGTTGGACAAACATCTTGTGTTTTAAAGGGCATCAATGCCACAGAGGGTGGTTGGTCTCTTCTTCTCCTTCTCCAAGTGTTTTTCTTCCTCCCTTTAAGGACATTTGATGTGGTAAAGCGGCAAAGGTTTCTTCAAAATGCTAGCGACCTCAATTTTGTGTTTTATTATTTTTATTTATTTTTTTTTTTTTAAGTAAGTTATTGGATGGGTTTCACTTCACTTGCCTGGGAAAGACAACTGCCTATTCTAGTAATTCCCATGAATAATATTTGTTTCAAAATTGCCTGGGCGATGTCAATCCAAACCCTTTAAAGGTCCATAATAAGCCCTTCAATCCAAGCCCTTTTAAGTTCCAAAACGGCTACACAGCTAAACCTCTACAACACTAGTGCAAGGTGGTGTTTTTAAGTGTTGTAATTTGTAAATAGTAAACCGAAGCTTTTTAAGCACCAATTTTATTATTTTTTTATTTTTTATTAACGAAAGAGCCAATTTCTATAGACCTATACCAAATAATCCTACAAATTTCTAAATCTGCAATTCATCCTGTGATCTGAGACCTCTTAAGAACATTTAAACTTTTTAACATTTCTGGGGACAATCAAGCATGCATGCAAGGCTAAGTAGCAAAAATAAAGTATTCACCCACACAGTCCTATGAACTTGATAACAATAACATATAGGATTAGGGGCGGACGCACATGTACTGCTACAGGGGCCCGGGCCCCCTCCAACAATTTTTTTTTTTTTTTTTCTTTCCTTATGCATGAGTAATGAAGTAACCAGCATGACTTGAGTTCCTTAGCATAGTCCCTGCCTTGCCCTGCATTAATACGCTGCCACTTGAGAAGAAACACGGATGGCTTGAGTTTTTTTTTTTTTTTTTTAATGATGATTTTGAATAGCGATTTTTCTGTGTTTGCTAGGGGTAAATTTGTTATGTTTTGGACCACTACTAACTAAACAGCATATATTTATTTAATTTGATCCTAGCTGTCTTTCATTACTACTAAACTCTTTCATTCTTTCTTTTCTCTTAATTCTTATTCTATTCAAAACATAAACAAGAAAACATTTTCTCTTATTTGGATTTTGTTTATTAGACAATACAATAGTTATTTTCTTAAAAAATTAATAATTTATTAACTCTTATTTTATTGTTTACATTATTAATTTATTAAGTTTTTTTATTTTATATATTAATTGAATTTTGACAACTTCCAATTTTCTTTTTTAAATAATATTTTATAATTAAAATATTAGATCGGATGTTCTCCTAATTTTATTTTATATGATTAAAGTATCTATTAGAATATTAGATCCATGGCTTAGTAAAATTCGATAATCTATCGACTTGAATTAAAATTATATTATTGATCTTGAAATTTTGTGTCGATTTTTGTACTTTTAGTATTAGACCAAAAAAACAAAACAATAGGAGTTGCAACAGTAGGAATGTAGGATTACAATTTACAAATAATCATTCTTCTTTCATTAATGGTTAATGGTTATTAAAAAATATCTTTAATTATTTTAGTCACAACCATATTTAGATTAATATACTAGATTCTCAATTGTTTGTTTGTTTATAATAACGAGTTTTCTTATTTATATTTTATAGGTTTTATATTACTAAAATGACTATTTTGAAATATATTCAATTTATTATTGAAACGGCCGTTGCTACTATAATCCTTAATATTTTTAGGTATGTAAATTAGTGAGTTTGGGGCTAGCTCTCAATAAATCTTAGTGATGACCTATTTATATATTTTATTTAAAAATTTAAATATCTTATTTTTATTTTAAATAAATTTATAATTTATTACATATCATACTTTTAGAAAGTGAGTAGCTATTGTAGATATTTAGTTCTGCTTTCGCCGTCGCTAGGATATAGGTTTCTCTCATCCTTCTAACTTGTCTTTGCTTTCTCCCCCTTTCATTTCTTATTTGTGCAATTTTTTCAAAGTAAGACCACAATTATTAAGGTGTGATGTAATTATATCATTTATTTAATAACTAGACCCGGATTATATATGATTAATGGCTAGTGTCATTAAATATCGTCATCGATAGGGCACTACTACTTGCTTTTATGGCTATTGAAAAGAAAGTGCATGCATTGCATGCATAATCAAATCACTAATAAGTATATATCTTAAACCACATTATTATTGTTATGATTATGTAATATAATTAGATGTATCCCTAGCTAGAAAACTGCAACCGAAGACATTCTAGCTAAGGTTATTATATCGAATCTTCAAAAAAAAAAAAAAAAAAGGATTCAATTGATTGGTTATTAGACCGAGCTAGCTATAGGGTTGATGAGACAATAACCGGCCATCCCTTTCTTCATTAATAACGAAACATCAATTCTTCGTCGCCGCCACCAACTACAAATAAATGTATTTTAAGGCCATGTGATAGGCATTGTTATAGGCTTATAGGCCTTAGTGCTCTAGAAATGTCGACAGAAATTACAATAATAAATAATTAATAATGAAAAACTTTGTAAATTCATATTTCCTCTGTTTTTTTTTCTTGGGAAGTTCCTAATTAATGTTTTGCTATTATTTTTATTATTATTATTTTGATAAATGAGTATGATTTGACCCAATTAGTTGCTAGTGATTTTATTGGTACTCATCACAATATTGAATTTAATTATTGCGTCAACTTTTTTGCTGCTCTACAGATAGAGTTCAGTGTATCTACTTCACCAGAATATAGATTTTAGAGGTTGAGTAACGTATAGAAAAAGTGCGAAAATCTTCCAAAAACAAACTCTGGAGTTCAACATCAATTGTTTCCGTATAAGGTCTTCTAGCTCTAAAAGCAACAATTCCTGTACCTCTATTCTAGAGACTTTTGTATCAGCAGACATACGTAGCGACTCAAAGAGAAAATGTAACAAGATGAGGATAGAAAAATCAAAGACATATATACTACGCAGAGAATGAAGAAAAAACAAAATGTAAGCCATGATCTCACTAGCATTACCAAATCTTTGAAAACGAAGCTATCCTAGCTAGCTACGTCGGTCTTCAAGTTGAATGAATTCTTATACTCTTTTTATTTAATTTCCCTGATCCTTCATCTAGACACCAAGAAAATGCGGTACTCTTCCTAATGCTACTAATCAAAGTCATTATAATTAGCCGAACTCAAATTGGCATTTATGAGTTTCTTGTTCTTCTCGATCGTCCTCTTTTTTGACTATATTCAGTGTAAAAGTCTTGGAATATACAGAGATACTAATCATTAAGAACTTTGAATTAAGGTATTAGAAACTCTCCAATTTTAGCCATCTTATACTCATCAAATTCTTTCTTTGGTTAAGAACTATTCCAGGTCTATTGCTGCCTTCGTTACCTAACCCATAGGAAAACTGTAAGGCTTTTATTTCTTCTAATTCTACAGGGAATTAATCTCATAATCTCACCCCCAAAATCAGATGTTTTGTTTATAATAAGAGAGTATTATTAATACCATGCATGAGATTGGCTGGTGGTTAAGTGCTTGTTTAAGAGATATGAATTAGGCACTCATCTGGGGTTCGTTTTCGAGCACTGTTTGGGCTAACAATTGTATGTCTGCACGATGGTTTTGGTTCGAGATTTATACGTACTTAGAGTACTACTAGTAGGGCCAAATGGCCCCAAAACTTCCATTACTAATTAAAAAATATATATATGTAACTATATAATTCGAATTCGAAATCAATATTAGGTATAAACTTAATGTCGATTGATGTTTAAATTGATTCCGAAAATGTCCCTCACCATCGAATAAAAAAAAAGTGACACTAATTAGTTTTTAGTTATGACTTTCGTGAACAAGCTAATTAATTAATATGTTTATATATATAGACACAAACATCATACATCATATGTTTCTGAATTCTCCCATCAAATATGGCTACATTGACTTTAGTCCGTTTCCTGTAATCTTTTTCACAACAGCTCGAAGTTTAACTTACTCAAAGCGACTCAAGATCCATATCAAAGTGCCACTTAATTTCAATTGATATAATTAATAAGGCATTAAGTCTTCTATGTTTTTATTTTCTATGATTTCATTAGTGAAGTTAACCGGTCTGGTAAGGATAAGATGCATTACAGTCAATCCCTTGTTAGACAAGGAAGAAAGTCCACCTACTCATTTGGGAAACAGTGGAATTTGAGGTTTGTTGATTTCTTCTTCTTCTTCTTCTTCTTTTTTTTTTTTTTAGGAATATGCTCAACTTAATTGTCTTTGTTTAATATTTAATTAACCATGCATCATCATCTTGAGAGATGGTTATTAGCTGCAGCTAGCATTATTTAAATTAGCTACTTGGTTCTTGTCTTTACACATCCTTTAGATTACTAATACTTTACTCTTCTGTTAAATTTTTTTCTTAGATTAGATCAACCTATCCATCAAAACGATTTAGAGGGCATCACAAGTCATAGACCTTTTCGTTGAATCTTTAAATGTAAAAAGATATAAATAAAGAATGGCAACCTAGAAGTTGACCCCCAAAAACTGCATGGCAGAAAGAAAATAATTGAACACGTTAAGGGTATCCTTGAATTCATGATCTGTCTCAGCCTTAGGTACATGGGTACGGCTGGTCTCAACATGATCACGACCACAGTCATTGCAACAATTGGACACATCACCACATGCCGTTTAATTACGAGACATTGTGTCTGCTTATTTCTTAAGAAAACTTACAAGAAGAAACTTGCTTGAATCCTACCAATTATATTGTCACAACACAACAATAATGTATATCTCTATCTTATGACGGCTATGAAGTCTCCGCACCGATCCTCCAATTCCTATATATTTTCTTGTAAGCTATGGATGTACCTCCATGGGTGAAATTGTATGGATATTCTTTACTAACTATTGGAAAAATTGATAGATTTAGTTTATATGTTGTATCAATTAGAGAGGTTAGTTAGTGAAATTGGATTGA